TATGCAGCTGCGCGGGCGCGCGGGCCGAGCTACAGGCTCGGAGAAGAAGTCAGAGCGCGGCCGCGACAAACGGGGCTTGCAAGTTGCCAGTCAAACGTCTAAAGTTTAAACCCTGGCAGCAAAAGAATCCTTTGACGTCACTTAATGCCTCTTTTTGTTCACGTGGCCAGAAAGGGCTCTTTTGATTCGATGTAGGCATGGTACCCATCGCTGATGGCGTCACATAAGCATCTGACTGATGGCGCTGGCCGCGGCCGCGAGCAGAAGTCGACATCATGGCAAACTGTGGGCGGCTACCTGTAGCTGAAATAAAGTTTAGTCTAGAGCAATGTTCGTGGCGAAACTAATTAATCTCGCCAATTTGATTTTCGCCAGCTTTTCGCCATTTAGTGTCCAGGAAGGGAATTTCGCCGGCCTGGCGAAAATGGTCAGGAATTGTCAGGCACTTTTCAGGTGCTCGGGGGCTTTTACCGGCTTTGATGACTTATAGCCCTGCTCAAAACCCGGTACTATTGCCCCCGTTTGTCCTTAGTCAAGTAACTTTTTCGACGAAACGAGGGAAATCAGGTCGGATCAGAAAAGTAAGTTACCAGGGCACCCTACCGGCCACAACCGCTGCTGGGAATTTCGCTATTTAAGTGTCATTTTCGCCAATTAGTGTCTGGGAGCTCCGATTCAGTGTATTTCAAGATTTATTTTCGCCACGACCACTGGTCTAGAGTCAACTAACTGGAATTTCATTGATGCTTGAAAGTGAAACTTAGGGAGCTACAGTAAAATTTCATTGAAGTGCGCCTAAACGTGCTGTTACAGAGAAGGTGCGTCCAGAGGTGCACATTTGATCGTCCTGGGTTTGTAGCTTTTTCTGACTTCCTGCTTAGTCTGTTCCGGTTGAAGCGACTTCAAAGAATTACGCAAATAGATTTAACACTTCGATGGCACAGGCCACTGGTGCCGCTCTCCTTGGAGAGCTGCGTGCCTTTTCGGGCCCCAGCAGCCGGACATGTCCTGGTTGCAAAGCACTGCAAACAGTGCCATTACCATCGTCTCCGTATCGGTCTACATTCAAAGGGGCGCCTCTCATCAGGGAGAGCGAGCGCAACAGCAATGGGGCAACCTTTTGGATGGAGGCAGTGAGGACGAGGAGGGTCAAGGAGGACAGGTTTGTGCCGGTGACTGCGGATGACAAGGTGCCTGTGCTAGAAAAGACAGTCACTGAGCGAGCGGCCAGGAGTTCGTCTAAAGGTATGAGCCCGCTGCGGTACACCAGCGAGGAGCAGCGGATCTCAGCGTCTACGCTCTTTGCAGAGGAGATTCAGGTGAGTGGCAGGTTTTCTGTGGAGCTCTATTGTAGGCTTGGACCCCCAAAAACAAGAAAAGAAGTTGGAAAATTCTAGAGGGTCCTCATGGAATGTCAAATGTTGAGCCACTACTGCGTTGCTGATTGCTGATCTGTTTGCCATGCATAATTTTTGTCATTTAGTCGACCATATCAGTAAGCACTTTTACGTCGTCCTCCGCTTCCTCATCAACTTGCCGTTTGAATGCGCTCAATTTCATGGAGGGACGTCAATGAAACCACCCCGTGCCACGCTGTATGCCAAGCAGCCTCTCCGTTCTCCCCAATGTGCCGCCACTTATTACTGCATACTTGGGCCATCGCAGAGTACGGACCTGTTCGAAATGCTTGACGAGGATAAGCCAACCAACGCGAACTGGCCGCAGCCGACCTTTCAGAGGAAGACCAAAATAGTATGCACCATCGGGCCAACCAGCTGGACCAAGGAGATGATCTGGAAGGTACGTTGAGTGCATTTTCAGAGTGGTGGACATCAACAATAAGATGTGTGCACTCCTTTGTACGTTGTTCTGTGCACTTGCACCTCTTGTTAACCCTCAATTCAGCCTGTTAGTTGAGCCTGCTGCCAACTAAGGGAAAGTAAACAGGGTCCGTTCAGAGAAGGCAGATCTAGCATCGAGCATGCTTCTCTCAGGAAGAGTGTGAAACTTTTGGGATTGCGGCGGCGCTTTCTTACTCAACGCTGGTGGTCAAAGATGCTCAAATGAAGTTGACTTTATTTTGTCGCTTGTGCGCCTTTCTTCTGTTCTGTTCGCTTCTTGATGCATATAGTGGTGATACATAGTGGTGCAGCCCCCACTTTGACTGTCAGCCACAGTCAGAATTTTCAGGTCTCTTGGACTCCCAGCAGCTATTGATATAAGTCGCTCTCCTTCTGCGCTTACGTCCCCAGTACCTTATGCACAAGTACTATCGGACAACTTTACTGAGAAGGGACTTCAACGAAGAGTCTTTTTGCCCTGCAATTTTCCATGATGCTTTTTCAAATCAAGAGTGAGTGTTATGACTCTACACCATCTCTTGCATTGCAAAGATAAGTCACTGCGGTCCAGCGATTAGCTTGCTGATGCTGTCTTCTTCAAACTGTGTGTCAGCTGGCGGAGACCGGCATGAATGTGGCTCGCCTGAACATGTCGCACGGAGACCACGCGTCGCATCTCAAGGTCATCGAGCTGGTGCGCGAGTACAATCGCGAGCGCGGCCACAACGTCCTGGCAATCATGCTTGATACGAAGGTGAGCATTCCGACCTTTTCGGTTTGAGGACGGAGGCACATGGTCTCAGGGGCCGTCTTTGAAGTTGAAGTGGGCTTGAGCGTTGCAGATGCTCAATTCAGATGCATCTGAACGGGTGTTCTGTGAAGGCTTGGTGCTCCTCATGGGTTGCAGATTTCCTTGTAATGGGTCTTCAAAAGTTGACAATCAAACCTCTTCAGAAACCGTCCGTGATTTTTGTGAGCAGCCAAATCAGTAGCACGGCACTATTCCAGGGAGGGCATATCATGATTTGCAACAGCACGTTTTAAAGCAGCATGATATGTCTTCCAGCCTGCCTCTCTTCCCCCTTTGAACCCTTTTGAAAGAAAGTGGTTTTCTTGTTTCCCACCCCACCTTTTGAGAGCTAGAGCCTGGACTGCGGAGCTGTGTGCTTCGTTTGCCCTCGTGCCCGACCCTGTGATTACAAAGGACGACTGTCGTTTGCATCCATGTGACTGGCTTCAATCCGTTGTTCCCGAGTACTGTCCTTTCATTGAGCCACCGATCTTCGCACACTTAAGAACTCATGATGCTGGTCAATAGTGATGATCCGGTTTTACACTCTCGCAGGGCCCGGAGGTGCGCAGCGGTGACCTCCCCCAGCCCCTGATGATGAAAAAGGGCGACCCGTTCACGTTCACCATCAAGCGGGGGATCAGCGAACCCAACCGCGTCAGCGTCAACTACGACGGCTTTGTTGATGATGTCAGCGTGGGCGATGAGATCCTGGTGGATGGTAAGGTGCTCCTTCCCACTGGATATGCTTTGAAGCACAGATGGTGGTTTATATAGTAATCTGCCGCCTGAGCAGCGAGATATGCCTTCCCTTCTAGTCCAAGTCGGGCTCTGATGCGCACTCAACTCCAACCCAACCCAACTCCAACCCAACTCCGCTTTGATAGCGTGATTGCTCCGCATTACTCCTTTGCAAAAGACATGAGCTCCGAAAGCTGAATTCCTGCAGGCGGCATGATGTCGCTCGTTGCGGTGAAGAAGACAGCTGAGGACGTCATCTGCGAGGTGGGAGACGAGGGCGAGCTCAAGTCGCGCCGGCACCTCAACGTGCGTGGCAAGAGTGCCACGCTGCCCTCCATCACAGGTGGGGACTACTTGTCCGTTGCACTTTGTCGGTAGCTGTCCCTTGTAGCCGTGAGATGCTTCAAACGAACGCAGAAATCGAGCACTGCGGGCGCGAGTAACTGGCGAAGTCGATGTCAGGACAGAGACCTTCTAGCATTCTATACTCTGTAAGAAATAAGCCATATCAATGAATAACGGCAGGCCTGGGGACGGGTGAGATTGGGTGCGGAGCGCCCAAATGTCTGGGTCAGGACTCCTTATTTTACCCATAAGATTGACCTCATTATTCAGAGAGCTTACTAGTCCTAGAATGGATGTATATAGACCTTATGGTTTCTCGGTTGGTACCCACGTGTCCTCTTGATAAGACCAATCAGCAGCCCAGTCGGTCACTCTTTGTTCGGAGATCGTGTTCTGACGCTGAAGAATCCTGCAAAGTCGTCCTCGATGTCGCTCAAAAATGGGGGGACATGAAGAAGGAATCTATCTCTTTTATCTATTACTCTGCAGGCGTGCTGTGTATTCACGCGCGCAGCCTCCTCTTTAACCATGGGTGGTTATGGGCTGCTGATTCAATAAATTTCATAGGTCCAATAACCAGACTTGGGTGGTGACTAGCCTTAGGAACAAGGTTAAAGCCCGGTACTTGTTTCATAACCTGAGATTTAAAACAAGTAGTCAGCTTGGTTAGCGGCGAGAATTGCCTGAGATGTTCCGCTAACCCCAGGCGGTTTGCGTTGACCTGCAGACAAGGATTGGGAGGACATCAAGTTCGGTGTTGAGAACGAGGTCGACTACTACGCGCTGTCTTTCGTCAAGGACGCCCAGATTGTGCACGAGCTAAAGTCCTACCTCAGAGGTGCGATGCCCCGAACTTTTGTTCTGCTATATGCGGGCTCAACGAAGGAATCAAGGATCGTGTGGTTACAGACAGCCGTCGATCCGCCCTTTCTATCAGTGCAAGGTCAACTTAGAGGGGCTGCTGATAGCCGCTCCTTGTTGATCTCGCAAACAATCTTTGATCGTATGTTGCTCCGCTTGCATGGAAACCTCAAGCAGACCATTGATATTGCAGAGTGGCCGTACGATGCTGGCCTTTCCATTCCAGCATGAATGGGTCCTGTCTTTCTATGTGACGTGGCTTCTCGTGGTTGCTCAAAAGAAGGGAACGTGTTGATTGGGTGCAGTGTGGGCCATTGAATGTGTTTTCAAAGTGGCAAGGAGTGGTGGTTGTTGTTAGCGACGGCTCAGATCGACTAGAACTGCTCAATTCGGCGTTTAGTGGACCCTGCGAGTCCAAACAAAAGCTTTAGCATCCACAGCTTTGAATGAGAAGACGTCCACCTTTCCCTTCCGCTCTTCAGAATCAGGCTTTCTTCCTTAGATCCAGATTTAGGTGCATTTGTTTCTTACCGTCAAGTGCCACCGAAACAGCGGACCAAAGCTCCTCGCTTTCACATTCTGCAGAAAAGAACGCGGACATCAGGGTGCTGGTGAAGATCGAGAGCGCCGACTCCGTTCCCAACCTGCTCTCCATCCTAGATGCTGCCGACGGGGTGAGTGTAAAAGGTCGCTCCTTGCCACTTTGAAAACACATTCTCTGATGCGCAGCAAACGTCTGTCTGAGGAGGCGTGTGCATAAGGTACTCGGAAGCTCGGAAGAGTTTCTCGAGAAGGTTTCCATCCCTGCGGAAGTTGAGTTTTAAAGTAGTCGCTGACTTGGCCCCGCTGCTTTCTGACTTGAACGACACAAAGGATCAAAGATATCTTCCCCTGCAAGACGAATCGACGGACCAATCTCCCTTGCCTCAAAATCGAATCTGCAACACTGAGTTGTTGGCAAGCGATGGTGGCGTGCGGTGACCTCGGCGTAGAGCTGCCCGTGGAAGCAGTGTCGCTACTGCAGGGCTGTAGACGTTCTCTTGGATTTTTATAGAGTTATGCGGTCTCGACCTTAATCTTCAGATCAAGACCCTTATGTTGGCAGGCGCCGCTGCAACCCGGAACAGAAAAAGTCCTGTTGTCAAGCAACACGGTGCTTGAAAAAAACGCGCAACCTTAAAAGTGCCTCAAAAGAAACCTGGAGTGTCGTCCTCACAGGCGATGGTGGGGCGTGGTGACCTCGGCACAGGATTGCTGATGGCAAAGTGCCATTGTTCGTTCATTGCAGATCATCCATGGAAAGAGGGTCGCCGTGGCCAACAAGCAGCTAACCAGATTCCTCCCCACAGGCAATGGTTGCGCGGGGTGACCTTGGCGCAGAGTTGCCAGTGGACGAGGCACCGTTGCTGCAAGGCGATAGCATCCATAATACGAGTTTCCCCGTGGCCAATAAGCAACTAACTAAACTTTAAACCACAGGCGATGGTGGCACGCGGTGACCTGGGCGCAGAGTTGCCGGTGGAAGAGGTGCCGCTGCTTCAGGGAGAAATTATTCGCATCAACCGCAGCATGGGCAAGCCGGTCATTGTGGCGACCAACATGCTCGAGAGCATGATCGTGCACCCCGCGCCGACTCGCGCTGAGGTGTCGGACATTGCGATCGCGGTCCGGGAGGGTGCGGACGCCGTCATGCTGTCAGGTGAGGTTTGGATGCAGGAGCATGAGTGGTGAGATTGCGACATTCAGCGGTTGGAGGTTGGGGGAGCAATTTGACAGGACGCCGTCATGCTGTCAGGGTTGGCCTCAGAAGCCTTGCAAATATCAGGTGGTTTGGTTTGGAAGTGGTTGTGAACGTGGGAGTTGGACCGGAAGTTGGTTCGGGAGCTGACCGTGTCTTGTATTGCTGGCGAAATGACGGAACCTTACAATCCAGCTTGAGATTGGGGGTTATAAGGACTTTGTTGTGAGTTCCTTCGTGGGCGAGCCCAGCGGGGCTGCAAGTCAGATGGCGGTGACAAAAGCAGCATGCCACTTTCTGTGATCCAGGTTTCCATTTCTCTCATTCTCCTCCCTAGGCCAACACCTCGATTGTTCTTTCTGATCGTTTCAAGCCTTTTTTTCTGAGTCTCCGAAGCATAGGGCACCCTTTTCTAAGAACGCCCCTTCTATTACCAGGCGAGACTGCCCACGGCAAGTACCCCCTGAAGGCGGTCAAGGTGATGCACACCGTGGCCATGAGGACCGAGGCCACCATGCCCGAGACGCATGCGCCCCCCAACCTGGGCCGCGCCTTCAAGGTGAGCGCCACGCCTGGATGACGAACCGCTGATGTTAGCTGGTGTCGTTTGTATGAATCGTCCTTGAGCCGCGTTATCGCTAAGTCGTTCAGTGCACGGTTGCCCTTCGAAATTGCTGACGTCAGCTCAAGGTGATAATGATTCAGCTCGGATTTCGAGCACAAGCATACGGGATTTTGTTTGGGGCGCCCATCTCGGCACGTGTGGACCGGCTGCCGAAGTGGACTGTCGATACTAATCCCTACAGACAGGGGCCCGTCCCGCCACGAAAAGGCCTTCCCTTGCTGACTTGCTTATCCAGTGTCCCGTCACGAAGTATGCGCGCATCACCGTAGTTGAGTTCTCCCATACAAACTCTCGAGACATTGGCGATAACATGTCTCCCTGCCGCGCTATTTGCAGAACCACATGAGCGAGATGTTTGCGTTCCACGCGACGATCATGAGCAACACGCTGGGCGCGTCCATTTTGGTGTTTACGCGCAGCGGCTTCATGGCCATGCTGCTCTCGCACTACCGCCCCGTCGGGACCACCTTCGCCTTCACGAACGAGTGAGACTGTCGCCCCCTGGAAAAGCATCCCCAGTTCTTACGTTTGGCAGGACCACAGCGCCATGTGTACACTGTCTAGCGACGAGGCGCTGTCTTGTGTTGATCAAGGCATCCGAGTTTTACAAGGAACAGACTTGGTCAAATTGAGCGGAGAACTGGTGAAATCCTGGCGGTTGCCAGTGATTGCATTGCTGAATAGACCGCCTAGTCCAGAGTAAGTGGTCCATTCAAGCTCGTCATGCCTTGTGTGCGTCTCCGCGTTTGCCTTTGGCTAAATTGCCTCAAGGCCCTGTACTGTAGCATCTGACTAATGAGTCAGTCTATTGTACTGCATCAGTGTCTCTTCTTCTCAGGTCTTCCGCTTCTCTCTCTCTGCTCGTGGAGTCAGTGGCACGGCCAAAAAAGTCGGCGAGGCTTCTCTGCTGCGGTCGTGCTGAGAATGATACGGGTTTGAGAACGATACGGGTTTGCCCCTTCCGGCTTCGCGTAACCCACTGGCGAGACCAATAAGTAGGGCGAGGCTTTCCTGTTGTTGCCTGCCCGGGAACGGTACGATTTTGAACCGCCTGCTCTGACAGCATTCGGCTCTGTGGTCGTGCAGCAAGCGCGTGCAGCAGCGCCTCGCACTATACCACGGGGTGCGCGCGCTCTATCTCGAGTTCTCTTCCGACGCAGAGGAGACGTTCTCAGAGGCCATCAAGATACTCCTGGTGAGAGGATTCTCACCCCGCTTTTCTTCCCCGCTTCTTGTGTTCTGTTTGCTTGTGCTGCGCCGATTGTCTCTCTGAGGGGATCTCGTTGATCCGATTCCGGAGCGCCCATCGAATGGTTGAGATCAGGAGCCTGCCAGACATCTCTTAGCAGAGATTTCGGGCAATGATCTGGACGGCGTTCCTGAGGCGAATCCTTTTGCTGCTCGGCATCAAGCGAAAATGCTCGGAGTCTGGCGCTAAGTCAAGGTGACGTCAGCTTGATCCTGACGTCTTCTGCCGGCTCTGCAGTCGCGTGGCATGGTGAAGCCGGGCGAGGACGTGGCTCTAGTCCAGAGCGGCCGGCAGCCCATCTGGCGGTCCGAATCGACGCACCACATCCAGGTGCGGACAGTCCGCAAGATGGACCAGGAGTCGGATGACGAGGCCATTTAGTTGTCGCCACGTGGCAAAGTTTGCAGGCGCAGCCGGCAAAGTTTCGATTCCACCTTGCCGCTGATTTGTAAGTAAATTAGAAGACCATTATCAAGGCATTTAGGGAGAAGGGAAACGGTGTCGACCACTACGTTCTGCTCGTCATCACCGAGCACGAGCTGTATTTCATTCTTTTGAATAGATTTCAATGAGGCGCTTTGAGGAGAAAGTCTTTGCGCAGTGGCGTGCTGGGTTAAGCACACGTCTAGACGGATGATGTGTCCTATTTGTATCTACATCGTAAGTGATTTCAGACGGTGCTGATTTTGATACAGCTCGAATCAGTGGGGAAAGCCTACTTCATGGGGCGTCGTCCGGTCAGTGCATGGCGTAGGGCGGATCTTATAGTCAACCTGTCATAGTCACGGTGAACCTTCGGAAGGTTCGGTATATGAATCCAGCTACAGTACAAGATCAGACGTTATCTCATCTTGCAGACCGACACATGTACTTGGATGTAGCCCGCAAAGATCGATTCCTCCGGCTCCAAAGCTCATTTCCCGGTCCGCTCAGAAGCCTCGGGCCCATCAAATTCCACGTGCCAATCATGATGGAATCATCATAACGGCTGGTCAGCTTGGCAGGCCGCAAAGCTTATACGCGCTTTCAATTCGGGCCGTCAACTGAGGTCAACCGGCATGTCTCTATATGTCATGCATGTAGCAAAAGTAAGCTTTGTAAACTAGGCTAACACTAACAACTGAAACCACAGGCCCGTACGTTCACCTGCTCCGCTAGGGCACCCATAGCCACGGCCCTAAACCCGCATGACCTAACGGCCCACCCGTCCCAGGTTGAGATCAGAGCCTTACTGTGCTCATATCTACTTTAGTTGACTCATCCTTGTAGCTTCGTTTAACGTGACCGAATCTGAGCCGCCGCACACTGTAGTGCGCGTCATGTCTACGAAGGCTTCGTGTTCATATTTCACAAATATACCTACAATATCTCGTCTAGTTGGAAACTGCCAACAAAGGCCGAACTCCTATAGACTAGTGCACAAAGTTCGAGGATTGGACTCTCTGTAATGGTGCACATGTGCGCGTGGTAGAGCTTCAATCACACATTGTTGTATTTGGGTTGCAACGACGTACAGGTTCAATTGAAGGTCAAGCTGTTTGGCTTCCAATTCAGGCATGCAACTCACAGAGAGCTAGACACCCGGATTAGTAGGCAAACATTGCATGCCATGACCCAGCGTTAACACCATGATCAGTTTCACGTTGATTACCTCTTTCCAGAATCAATCAACGGCGAATTGACACTTACGCCGTCGCCCGTGTTCATGCCCGAAAATTTGCAACACATGCCGTTTGGTACCACTACAAGCGTCAGGAGGTCCTTTCAATTACACAAAAACATCTTTACTCATGCCATCTCCAAAGTTGCCTCAAATCCTCCTCTCGCCTGACAATGCTCCCTTTTCCCAGGGCGCCTTCTCCAGAGAAGCCTTGACCAGCGCCCGTTTGGCTCTCATCTGCGCTTCTTCAGCTTCCTCAATTACCTCTTCCTGCGCTTGTCTTATCTTCGATTTCTCATTCAACAGCCCTGCCCTGACCTTTTCGACCGCTCCTCTCAACCTTCTCGACACTTCGTTAGAAACCTCGTCCCCAGTGCCAATATAAGGAATCGAGTAGTCCAGATGACGGAGGAATTCCAGACTCTTCTCTCGCCAGCGCGTTGTTGCAGGTGCCGCCCGTTCCGTTCCTTGAGACAACTGCTCGTGCTTCCGGCGGAACTCCTCCAGAACAGAAGGCCAAAGCTCCTGTGAACCCCTCCTGATGTGTAAGCTTGGATTGCTTGGACAAGCGCCGAAGAGCCGCGCGAGGAAGTCAGTCAACGCACTTAGGTTGCTGTGTTGATGGCTCACATCTTGTACGCACAACATCAGCTCCTTGGCAAAAGAGTTGACAAACGTGTCCCCATACGTCTCCCAGGATTTCCCCAGCCGCACTGCATGGGCCTCCAACTGAACCTCGCGCCGCAGCCTCTCAACCTCATTTGGTTGCCACGGAACTTCAAACAATTCACTGAGAACCCAAACAATGACAACCGAAGGAGCGGGCGTCATGGGATCGGCTGCAGCTTCCTCTGCCTTGGGATGATCCCCTTGACAAGCATCAGAGCTGCCTTTCTGAATCCGAAGGTCCTCGGGAGCTATGCCGCCAGCATGAGACCGCGCGCCAGCAGCAGGGCAGGAGGAAGAAAGACCCATGTTTCATTTGTAGAAGTTGAACAAAATCACGCGTTTACCCGCTCGTTCAGGAGTTCGACAAAACATTGGAGCTGATGTTGTTTAGTCGGCACATGCGCGTAGCCGACCGCGTACGCCCCGGATCGGCGGGTTTGCAGGTTCCTACCGGGAAACCCTTTGAGTTGCGGCCGGCCGCGGCAGCCTGCCCCCGCGAGGCGGGCTAGCTTCCTACTGGAGGGCTGCCCGAACTGTTGCGATCGCTGCAAAGAGCGCGTCTTGTGGTTGAAGTTTACTGTGACCTCAGCCCTGCAACACGGACTGATTGTACGGTAAGGTACACGTACTACATACCCTGAATGTGCATGATCACTGCAGGGCATACGTCCGAGTCAATGGCATGCAATAGAGCAATAGCTTCAATGAAGCGGACACATATACGTTGTTCCTTTCTCTGTTATGTAAGTTTGCGACATCGAGCATTGACAAATGGATGAATTTGGCACAAGCGTCAAACTTGGGATTGTGATCATTGATCTGAAATGACGTAGTATTCCGTCTAGTTTTGCATACGACGTATTGCAAACCCATTGTATTTCCATTGGTTAGAATATGCCACGTGAATGTCAAGTAGGTTCAGAAAGCTGTATCCTTCAATCAGGCATCTTATCATGTAAAGCGATCACTTGTTGCGCGAATCATGTGCATGCTTATTCCACGGAACGGCGTTGGATCAGAAAGCGAAATCTAAGAACCACGCTTACGCGGAAGGATCGTGCTTGCATTCGTTGGTGTCCGTCGACAGTTGAAGACATTTGAACTCGGAACGTGGTGCGCACTGTTGTGCTTGCTAAGTTGCCCGCCTATGCATCCAACAATGCATGGCACTAATTTTAGTGTCCTAGAACATTCTCCGCCTATACTTTTACAAGCGTGTGTTCTCATTTCGTCTCGTCGCACTCCATGTCTACGGTGCAGAGTGGAAGCTCGTAACGCGGGTCGGAGAGCACGTTAATGCCCACGGTCACCCAACTTTCCGTTCCAGAGAGCACAGCTGACGGAACCGGAAGAAGCAGGAACAGGATCAGCCGGAACGGAGGCCCCCCAATGACACCGCAGCCCCACTGCTTCTGGCAGTAACTCAAGCTCGCGAACGGTAACGTTCCGAACCAGTCCCCGCCGCTCGCTATTCTCTTTTCCGGCAGCATTCCGTTCTCCAAGATGGACGGAACGTTGGGGGGCGGAGTGCCGTGGAAGGCGAAAAGGAGCGGCGCCATCTTCTGAGAGTCGGAGCCCATGAGTGACCGGAGCGCATCTGCAGGCACGATTGCTTACGCACTGTTCACGAGCTCTGGGGGACACCCTGCGCAAGTACTCAGATCATGAACGTGTCCCAGAAACGAGCTGTGATACATATGATCTCTTGCTGCGTCTTTTCCGTTGGATCAACCATGCTCGATGCTGTTGAAAGCTGGGTAATGTGTGTATCTTTATCCAGGTGTCAATTGGCCCTTTCTGGGCATGTCTTTTCGGTGCCCATGGAAGGTCTCGCCCGCGGCACTCATGGAGAGGGGGGGAATACATTCGCAGAGCTGAATTTCATCCACGCTTCAATCTATCTAAAAGCTTTCTAGCGCAGAAAGAGTGGCTACCTACCTCCCAGGTCTGCCACGTGTCGTGCCATCGCGTCCAGAAATCGCGCGTACAGCGCGCCTCCGGGCCGCGCGCGCGCGTTCACGGTGATCCGCGAGATCCGAAGGGTCCCGGTTTTCGCGGCGCATGCCGTCAGTGAGGGAAACCACTGAACGGGATTGGCGGCGAAGTCTATTTCGGACAGGAATTTGTGGATGCGCTCTTCAGACGTCAGGAAATCGAGCAATTCGGAGAGGACCTGCAAAAGACGGCACCAATAAGTCCAGCGTAAGTTGCAAGGAATGCCAAAGCTGCAACAGCGGAGCAGAAAGCTAAGCGAGCTTTACACGTTGAGCGAATCTAGTTAGCCTTGCAGAATTACATATTTTCAGTGGTCAGGGCATCTCTGAGAGTTGATGCTTTGCAAACTTTCATCCTAGCAACTCCGGTATCTCTTGGTGATACCATCCAACGAGCGGTTCCCGAACCGAGGAGGTTTGCAAGAGTTCAATCAAGTAGTGGGAAATGACGGCAAACTCCATCTTAAAGTAAGAAAGTGCGAGCTGGACTAAAATACAGAGGATTAAGCGCACTTAAGAAAACGAAGACCTTGCATGATCCGCAAAGCAAACGGCATCTGAATACGTGCACAGGTTCGTCGTCCAACAATACTGCTTGCGGAAGAGTCTTCAACAAAAAGCAAGTCGATACTTGACAAAAGGTCCGAGCGCCCAGTGCAGCATCAACTGATAGACTTCCAACATGTTTGGAAAGAACTCCTTCTGCTTGCACTCCGCATTAAAGCTCAAGTCGGCGATAACGTCTTTCTCTATTTGTACCTGTCGTTTCTTCGGCGCCTCGCAATCCGCGATCATGGCCGCAAGAGCGCGCGCAGTTCTTGGCAGCCGGTCGAAGCTGCACGTCGAAGAGAAGCCCCAGCGAACGGCGCGTTCCGAGTTCGACGCCGGACACCCGTTGCGGTCTGTCTTGAGCGTCACCACAAGGTCCACTTCCTTCGAGGATCTGATCAAGAAAGAAAAGGATCATTTTGTGTCGACTGTCAGCATCATATGCGACGCGGAAACCTTAGGGTAGAGGGCCTTGTTGGCTAGACTGGCTCTCAAGGGCTTCAAGTGCAGTCAAACAACGCGCAGTATCAGGCTCTTTCTATTCTTCCGGCTCTGTTTAGGAAAATTGATGCAAGTTGGGGAAATTTCGAATGTTTTTCGTCCACGCGAAGGGGAACGACCTGCAAGTCTTATAAGTTGTCTTGCTTTGCTTCGTTGACTGAGAGTTTGTAGATTTGTGGGGTACTATGAATTCTTTGGAAGTGATCCTTGAGCGACTTCTGACTCCAGCAAGCGAGAGAAAACTTCAAATTCCGTTCAACCAGGTTCTAAACATTCGCTCTCAAAGCCGTCCGCCGAATGACTGAAAGCCGTTTCGTCAGCCATGATCTGACAGCCTTCGTGCCAAAATAATGCGAATTACTTTCATCACCTTCGAGAAGCGCGCGCGCGCTTCGCTTTCCTCTCCTCTGGATTGAGTCGCGGCGACCTCCGCAGGGACTCCTCCAGCTGGAAGGTCGCCTGTCCCGACGCGGTCGCCGCAAGGATGGCGGGTCCGAGGCTATCCTCGAACGGCTGCCACTTTTTGGAACCGGGACGCCTCCAGCTGACCGTCAGATGCGGACCGCCCTTGAAGGCGGGCGGGGCTTCGGGCGTCGTCGCCATCGTAACAGCTGTCATCGAACCAGTAATGCTACGTTCAATCTGAGCGGAATGGCATGGTTCAAACGGAACGGAACGGAGCGACGGGAAGACGTGTCAGATTCTAATTTTGGGGAGGGTGCGCAGAGTTCGTCAATTGTGTTGATTTTTCTTGCATCAATGAGCGACTTTTCAGCCCATGAGAGGAGAGCTTCAGACCATTGTGTCGGGATAAGCTGCTATGAGGGGAACCGCGGAGCGAAGAACTTTTCGCAAGTGTTCTGAAACCTACGAGACAACTATGCCTTTCAGAATCAGTAGGATAGAGTACATGATCCGCTCAGTCGAGTTGAAAGAAACTGCATCTTCAGCAAAAGGAGGTTTCGAAAGTATCACCCAAAATTTGAAGCACTAGACAAGACCATTAAGATCGCTGGTGGGTCCTTTTCAGATGTTAGTATTTCAAAGCAGATACGCTCCAAATTAGTGATACACTCTTCTCTGATTATGATGCAAAGTTTCAAATTCTTGCCAACGTAGAAATCATGTTGGATCGGAGTATGAAGGATTAAGCCCAACTTTCTTCTGGACTTGCAAGAAGAGCAGAGGAAGAGAGGGAGAAAATGCCCGACTCTGGTCATTTGGGCAGGCAGCAGATATCATGACGCGTGCGCTCGTCAGATAGATTCATGCACTCTGCTGACTGCCACAAAGCTGATACAAACTGCCTCTGTACGGGACCCTACTTTGTGGCCCAACGAGTAGGCGCGGTCAGAAACGCACAAGTGTAGGTTTGGAATGAGCTTCCCGCTCAAAATGCTTAGCGCCCATTCTCCTCGAATCGGCTTTTGCAGGCTCACCGCTGCTTCTTCACCACTCCGCGCGTGCGCGCGGAGAAGCCCACAGAGGACCCGCTTCGCGACAGGTGGGCAGGGAGCGCCGCCAGAAAAGTTCGTGCGCGCGTGCCCACGACTAGATTGATGGTCGCTGCCAATGCCGCCCTGCAGCAATGAAGTCGACAATCCTAGCCTCTTCCAGATGTCTTCCTAAGCAGCCTGCGCAGCGTGGCCCTGCTCTGGCTGGTTCTTACTGCTCGACCTGCATGACGCCGTGACTGTGGCGCCGGCGCAGAAGCGCGAAGTTGTGCTTGCTCCGCAACATCCGTGCACCTTGATCCCGTTTCGAGTGAGCCCATTCCACGTGGGGAAGAATCACATGGAGTGTGTTGATCTACGGGTCGGGTTACAGCCAAAGACGATGTGCATGCGAGGCGAGAGTCCCTCTCATAACCAGTTGATCACCGGCCAACCGGCCGCGGGTAAACGTAGTTGGTAAGAAAGTGCGAGTCCACTATCTCAGGCCCGGGCCGGTTACGAAGTACATAACAACCCACTGCATACGACATTAGCTCGCATGACTTTCCCGACTCGACTTTTCGAAAGACGCAACAGATTGCCGCACATGGTCGAGGATTACTTGAAGATCTGAAGTCGGGCTGTGAAACTCCAACACTCATAAGGTTTCGCAATTTCGCATCGACCAAAAAAGCTGCTAAAAACGGTTAGCAGATTCTTTCCGAGCTTTGAGCCAACTGTAAGGTCCAGTAGACCCACGTGGTTAGATAGGTGCATACAAGAGCCGGTTCGCGTGAGCGGGTTCCTGTTCTGTCTGAAACCGGGCTCGGAACCGGAGCCCAGCTCCGGTTCGTCCGCCAGTTCGGAGCGGAATGCTGCGGTTCGGCCCCAGTTCGGCTCCTGTTCGAAGCCAAGGCGGCCTGTGCTAGCCTGGCTAGCTTAGCCGGCAAGCGCCGCATGCATGCACGAAGTGGGTGATGAAGAAGGCTGAGGAAGGAGCACGGCGCACACCCGCATACGATGCACACACCGCAGCAATTGCAACAGAGAAGACTAACCGCTGTGCACAGGAGATTAATTTTAAGGGCGAGACAGCGAAAGCTGCATCGTACTAGTGCACGCAAACATTCAAGAATTTCACACTCTTCGCAGCAGCTGAAGCGAAAGGTTCAACCAGGGTGCCGCGTGCTAAAATTTACATTGAAACATGGAGGGAGACCTCGACAACATCGTGGAGCGCTGCGCTTCCCTGCTGACATCAGCTGACGGCATCTGGAGCGGATGCGGCCTGCTGCTGGCCCTTAGCAAGAGTGGAGATGAGAACCGAATAAGCTTCGCCAGGGTCGCGCAAGAGATAGCGGCACGCGACGGGGGCGCCGTCCTCAGGCGGCTCTTGTGCCTCACGCTCGGGCAGCCATACCAGATAGAATTCGCGATCGAAGACACCAAAACATTTCAGCGTCTAGTTACATCGTGTCGCTTGCGACGCTCACTTCGAGCAAAGTGGTGGTGGAGCGCTGTTTGAGAGACGGGCTGCCGCCGGAAGGGGCGGAGAGAGGAAGAGGGCCGGAAGAGAATGGAACCGGAACAGGGCGGGAAAAGACGCACAGCGAAAGAGAGCCGGAAGAGGGAAAGATTGGAAGAGGGCCGGAAGAAAAGGAGAATGCACGGCAGATCTATGCGCGGCTTGTATTGCACATTGAACACTTCTCCGGTCCCGCGCGCCTGTTGGAGGCTCTTCTGAACAGCCCACAATTAACTGCATTCAACTCTCTGATGGTGGCTGCTTCTTTGGAGAGTCTGGCCAACTTTGCGCGGGCTTCGAAGGCGTTCCGAGAAGCTATTCGGGAAGCAGCGGAAGAGCGGAACGTGTTCGAGCAGTTTGGGGACCTGCTTCGCGCCGAGTATCTTGCAAAGATGTCTCGTAGAATTGCCCTGGAGATCCGGCTTGCTTTGGCGAGTCTAGCAGTCTCTCTTGCGTATTCTGTGGACAGTCAAATGTGGGCGATCGTCAGGGGCCTCCCGAAATTAATAGCGGCCATCTATGAAGCTTCCCCCTTGCGAGAGTCTTCGAAATATTCCGAGCGGCTCATGTCTCCAGCATACCGCTGCAACATGGCCCTGGTCCGCTTGCTTTCGGTGGACTCCGCAGCGGAAAAGCTGCGCGCGCACAACGCACTCGAAGGTTTCCGGCCCCATAAGCGGAAAATCAACATGGCAGAACCGGAGTGCCACCCGTGGACAACTTTCAAGATCAGATTGCAAGATGGAGAGCTTTCCTTGACACGCGAGATGTCCGCCGCGAATTGGAAGCCCATGGAAGATCGGCTCAACGGAAGGTTCTGGACGCCGGTGGTGTGCTCGAGGAAGCTGTGCGCGGCCGGCCGCGAGCCCGACGTCGGGAAGGGGTTTAGCAAATGCGGGCGCTGCCAGGTCGCGCGCTACTGCAGGTGAGATCCTGAAAGAACACTTGGAAACCCATCTCATTCGCCGCAATGCCTTGCATAGTGCTTCGCATTCAAGTCGACGCCAATGCAGCGAAGCCATCCATCCTCTTGATGTCGGACAGATGCCGCTTCCCCCAACACATCTCTCTTCAGATTTGGAATCCTTTTGTTGAGGTCTGGTATTTTCTTCTCTTTGCGCTAGCCGGTCACATGAACGTATCGCCAAGAACGTCAAAAGGACTCGAAGTTCCTGCGGCTGCCGACTCCGGTTCCGAACCGGCCCGTTGCAAGGTTGAGGATCGAGTGGCCAGCCAAATGTTGGAAAGGGTTCTACTTCGATGACAAGTGACCACTTACCAATCTGGCTGAAGCGCGGCCCCAATACTAATCACGCAACTGGATATGTTCGTCTCTGTCAAATATTCCTGAGCACGTAGGTCACAAAACGTCATGCTGAAGACAGACCTCGTATGTTTTAGACACGTTTTAGCTATGGTGGGGCGAAAAAGCATTCTTCCGCTAGCGGGTGACTGCCTTGGACGTAGTCCACTCAACGAGACACACTCTACTCGTGACCGTTGGACTTGCAGTCCTTGTCCTGCAAGAGCGCAGATCTTACAGAAGCTTCGGAACCCTGCATAAAAGCCGTTCGCAAAGTCTAGTTTCGCATGTCATCATCCAGAAGACCACGTGTCAATCAAAGCCGGTTAAACTGACTTATGTTTGCATTTCCATGTAGCAAGGAGCATCAGAAGCTGCACTGGGAGACCCACAAGAAGCATTGCAAGGCAGACCAGGCAAAGAAAGACGTGACCGATTAGTGTAAATTTGTGAGACCATCAGAGGACTAGCTCGACAGAGATTGCAGAAGCTTCTGCCAGTCGGCACAGCCTTGCTGCCTTGGGTTCCCAGGCACGTTTTGAGTTTTGCTCTTTTCAACGGCTTTCAAGTCTCGAACTGGGTCTGGATCAAGCCAGTAGCAGCTCGATCATCTCCGACGTCCTCAGACTTGCCTCGTGATCGGAGCATCCAATTCGGGGAGAGTCTGCCACCGGGCGCATGATTCTTCAAGATTCAATTGAAGCGGTGGCGCTGAATTACGTTTGTGGGGGCAGGCAGCGCATCTTGCATCCGACTAATGCAATTTGTCTCGTATCGTGCAAAAGCGGCGCCCTCGCGCGCTAATGCATTGACTGTTGCACAGGCATGCGACCGGCTTTCTAGATTGATGACGGATCGAAATCTACGTATAGGCACGACATAAGAACGATTTGGACCAACAAGTAGCAGAAGCACTGGCATCGCCTTGTATCCTGACGCGCGTGGCCCTGGCTGGGCGGCCCAACTATAATCATATGATCCATCAATCAAGATGGCCATCAAGTACGAACTTGCGTGCGCGCAAACTCTCATATATGAATATATGGTTACCACATCCGTTTCGGTCGATCGTATATGCCGCCGTGCACAACGAGTATATAAGTGGCTTGCCTGCATCTGTCGGTAGTCACTGCATCCAGATATAGGTCGCAGATTTCCGTGAGAGTGGATGCATTGCCACTGTTGACTAGCGCACACGCACACAGATTACGCATTCTGATGACCAGGGTTAGCACGTTTGGTCGGCCATAGTACAGCGTACAAGGTCGTCCGACGTCAACTTACTCACGATTTTAGAAGGCAAACAAAAGCAGCTAATCAACCAAGGCTTCCGACACGGCGTCTTTACCTGCCAAAAGCAAAGCACTACACGAATCGAGCGGTAGTCTGTTCAGACTCTTTGGGGAACAGAGCAACCTCCCTTTCTAAACTACACCTATCTGTCGCGGAGCTTCTACAGTCTATACAATATTCGTAAAGGTAACCCTGTGCGGTGATGATCAGGACACGCGCGCGGTCATGGGACCCTGGCCCCGTTCCCGGAGGCCGACCCCGTTCAGGGGCGAAGGTACACAAACTGCGAAGCATCAGATGCATCTGATGAGGCGGCGCCAAGGGCACGCTTTTGAGGAGACAAGGCGTGTGAGTTTGCCCTAGGGATAGCAGATCGTGCAAATCGTTCATGAGGCAAAAGAAGGCATGTGGTGTCAAGCTAAACACGTATCCTCATTGAAGATCGAAAGCAGCCAACAACAGAAAGGTAGACAAACTGCGAACATCAGGTACAGCAAATGAGTCGGACGCTTTTGAGGAGACAAGGCGTGTGTGTCTGCCCCTAGAAAGGCAGATCGTACAAACCATTTTATATGCAAAAGAAGGCATATACTTTCAAGCGCCGGTCAAGCGATGCAGCTATCCTCAGCCCAGGAAACAGGAGCAGCAAACAGCTGAAAGAGAGCTCGGCGACAGTCCCGCTTCGAACACTCAAGACACCTCGGAAAGACAGCCGGTGGGTTACTTCTGCTTTGGACAACCTTCGTCTCAACAAGCCCGCGAAGCTGCTATCACCAACAAGCTGCTTCCTGGATTCATTACACGTCCCGGTCAGAATGGTTGCAAAAATGTGCCAGGCACACGGTCTCGATCGTGACCTTGTTTTGACCTCCCACCCGACTCATCGAGGAAAGCACCTGCAACTCCTCCTTCTGCTGGTGTTGCCCCCCGACCTTACTGCCAGTATACAGTGTACAATCCAGGAACTTGGAACCCTGTAAGGACACGTGGCAGCTCACCAGCGCACGCCGGGCTGGGAGCTGTTGGGTATGGACGCAAATGCGCGGTCGCACTCCAAGACGTCGCTCATCGTCTCGGGCAGCAGCCGCCGCAGGTACTCCTCCGCAGCCTTGGTAGGGCGGGACGCCGCAGGAGGCGGGCTGCGGGAAGGAGAAAATATGCAATGTTCACACAAAAGTGCCCTTGCAAAATCTGAACGAAAACGGCCTTTCAGGATAGCTGCAATTCCTTGGGGATCAGATGTTTGGTCACTTGATAGAATGGCGCATGACGATCCGTGGTCCTTGTCTCTTCCGGAAAACCAAGATCCAATCTTTTGAAGAATGATGATGGTTCGCGGACAATGGATGCCGGTGTCCTTCGAAGCGAGCTGCTCCACTTAAGATAGGCACGTGCCGCCCTAGGTGTTCCTACAAAGGTTTTTGTACATCTGCCCCGCCTGCGAGCTCTCTGCATGCTTCTCGCGTCGACCAATCCGCGGTTGCTCGCTTCAAGTTTCTCTTTGCCAAGGCACGTTTGTCTCCGCATTCAAACTCCGGCGATCTCTGCTGAAGAGTCGATGTCCGAAAGGTCAAGTCAATCAGTTCGCAGCCCTAACATTGTCAGGGCATGCTCCTCTTCCTCCTTCTGTCACACGGGGACCTGTCGCACATTGGATTGGCCAGACTTTGCCGGGGGCATCAAACGAGACGAGGTTCACGCAGAGGACCTAACGAAGCCAAATTTGCGGGTTGCAGATCCCAGGAACAAATTGACCGGCTCTGAAAGCGCTCGTTCTTCGTCTCTTTGTGCTGACAAGAAACTACGAAGCGTTAAAACTCCTGGGACGAGAGTCTGGGTTGTTCGCTCACAAAATGCGAAGCACTCGAAACAAAAACGGAAGAAAGAAAGAGTATCCTCCAAAGAAGAGGAAGGGAATATGCTCACGTTGGGGGTCTGGGTGCTAAGCTGAACAGATGCAGCGTGCCGGTGTCGCTGGCGGCAGCCAGAAGGGGAGGAACTGTTTCGGGGGGGCTAAAGGCCAGCGAATATATGGTAGCCGGATACGTGCCCCGCCGAAGAGTAAAAGCCTGCCAAGAACAGAAGGCACGTCAGCCTTGTGGCATGGTGATTACGATCTAAGCTCGAGAGTGTGAACTTGCAACCAGGAAGAGGAAGTCGAACAACGTGTGACTTGGTCAGTTGCTGGTTATTGTGGAAGGGACGGCTCAGTTAACGCAGCCAAACTTACAGCAAGTAGGGGAAAGTCGAAAAGACAGGTTTTTGGTTGGCAGAGTCGGAGTTGATGGGGTCTTTACTTCAAAAGAGAGAGGAACCGATATAAGAGCGATGAATCTTGACGTGGGCCGTTCCTGACCTCCAGCTGCTTGTACTTTCTGACTAATAGTCGCGCCAGTCCGGAGCTCAACCGCAGTCCCAGCAATGAAACTAGGACGGAGATTCCATGCTCATACTTTCGTTTCACATGTTCGACGAAGTTCGATGCGACAGACAACGAATGTGACGAGATTCAAATACTTCTGGGAGACTCTTTCAACTCTGCCAATCTTGGCACTGAACTCGTTCTTGACTCCACTATCGTCGGATACCCAAGAGAGTATCCAGCTCCACTTGGTCTTCCGCAAGTTACAAAACGATACGTTCCTGCGAGCTGTATTCGTGGAACCTTACCTTGGTAGCGCTGGGCAATGTGTGCACCCTGATGACGGTGCCCCTTTCGGACGCGGACGCTAGGAGGGACCCGTCCGAATTAATGGCCAGCGCCGCCAGTGGCGCCTTATGGGCCTGGATCTGCAGACCTCCAATATTTGAAAGAATTTACACCTCGTTGCAAGTCCTGCTGCAGTCTCCACAAGACCACCTTGCAACTTGCAGTGCAGAGATTTTGCTTCCAGGCTTGGGGCACTGACGCAGGCATTGCTGGGTACCAGCAAACATCAGACGGGTCGGATGCAGCTTTCAAGGGCTCTGGCAGGTCTAATAGCGGACCGGAAAACGGAAGTTCAAGTTCAAGTGAGACTGTGAATCTTGACGAGCAGAAACAGACAGCGGAACAATTTACTACCCGCTCTATGAATGGCACTGAACCTTATTCGTCCCCCTGACTGATAACATCCAACATACCATTGTGGTTTGAAATGCTTCTGTAACGGAGTCAGGGATGGATTGCTTACCTGGCAAACAGCCGTTAGATGCATGGCATCATACACAACGATCTCCCCTGCAGTCGCGCTCGCAGGAAGGGCCAGATAGCTACTTTCCGTGCTGGGGGAGAAGGCGCAGATGGCCTTCGGATTAGGAGCGGTCTCAAGGGTATCCAGGATCTGGAGGGTCTGGAGGTCGTGGATGTGAGTCTTGCGCTCAAGAAGCACAACCAGCCTGCGAAGGTGGAGAAGCTCATAAGTCATGAATTTGACACGGTCACATTTAGTCGCCAGCTTATCGAGGAGAGTTAGATTCAAGATGGTAGATCATGCCTGAGGATGGGGCTGTGCATAGTTGAAGAAGCAAATCTTGTTGAAGCAAATGAACTCGAGCCACGCAGCACGGTGCGAGCTTCTGTCCTGACTGCTTGATTCGAAACACTACCCGTCTGCATTCGCTTTTGTCGGGCCTGATGGCTGGGAATGTTCAAACTTTACAAAGAAAAATCTCCTGTGAAGCCTGAACACTGGGGCAAGGCACACTCTATGTACTGTACCGTCTTGCCAAGTACGGACTACAACGGGTGGATTCAATTCAGTATCTTTTGATCGACTTGATGTCAGCAGAAACAACTCCAACGGACAGGTGTGAGCTTACCTCTTCCTGTTCATCCGTACTGCCAGTACAGACGAGATGAAGCTGAGGTCAGCGATTGGAGCACCCGTGGTGATATTCAGAATGCCAAGGCGCCTGGGGGATAGCGCAGGCTGCAGAACAAGGAAGATTGTAAGATTGCTAGCAGCAGAAAAGTGCCATTCGTAGTAGGCCAACTTTACCACCAGCTTCACATGCTACTAGGAGCATGTAAAATACAAAGAATTGTGGACGGATTGTCGTTAGCGGCAGAGCTCGGCCCCCGTGAAAGTGAAAGTCTAGGGCATCACGAACTGGGAGATCTGAAAAAAAGGGAAGATCTTGAGTGCAAGGTTAGAGAGGGGCACACAAACCAGAAAGGAGGGAGGATCTCGATTGCAAGGCTAAAGAGGGACACAGAAACCAGACAGCATGCATACAAGTCTTCATTCTATGCATCTCCATCAGGAAAGACGACTTCTCCTACTTACATGTTCACCAGCACCAACAAGCGCCAGTATGCTAGTCGAGAAGAGCGGCTCCACAATGCCGACAGCTCCATCGAACTGCTCGAAAACAGTCTTGCAGGTGTTGCAGTCAACAATCCTGAGGCCGTGTCGGGTAGCAAAGACAACCCGCGTGCTATCCTGGTTGAATGCAACATACGACAGACCCCTCGAGGATTGGCCCACATTCATGGTTTGGCATCGAGCTCATTGCCCAACCTCCCTGGAAACTTGTTCTCCCCCGGAATCCTTCCTACAATTGAACACATGTACAAGAGGAAGCGGTATTCTGATACCCAGAGCACGCTGGAAGGTATACCTTTTCAGAATTGGGGCGCCACAATGCCCACACTGCCTCAGTGAAGCACGCCAGGAAGTCTGTGCCTTGCATGACACCAAATTTTTCAAATTTAATTACGTAGAGGAGCATGTTGCCATATCTAGTTCGGCGAGGATAGCTCCCCGGGCATGGACCCCTGGCTCTAGCCTGTAGAATGCTCCAAGCTCTATTTTTTCGCAACGACCCGGGGCTGCGAATCGTGGTCCCCGGAGGTATGAACCATTACCGTACGGTAATGCTCCGCACAACGTGAGCAATGCGGATAGGTAGGTAGGATCATCTGATTCATACATTGATGGCAGTGGTACAGGCTACAGATGATGCACTCATCTTTCAACTTCAAGAAGATGGCCGCTATGAAGAGGAAGGAAGCGGGTGGTGCGGTCGGTGGGGAGAAGGGCCGCCCCAAAAAAGCAAAGGTTGACCAAAGCAGGCAGATTGGTAAGAATTTCAAGGAAGGTACAAGCGTGAAAGTTTTTAACAAATCGGATAAGGCCGGAGCAGGGAAAGGCTTTGAGTTCAAAGGGAGGAAGAACGATGGGGCGCATGCGAGCGGTGGTAAGGCCTTGAGCAAGGCTTCGAAGTTTGCAAAGTATCCGAAGCCGGGGGGGGATGCAAAGCAAGAAGAAGAGAAGGTTCTCTTGAGTAGGAAAGACAGGAAGGAGCTCACAGAGGAGAGGAAGAAAGCGCGGAATACCAACTATGACATGATCAGGGTAAGTAGCTGCGTGCAATTCTAGGCTTAAATTCAGAAGAAACAAGATATTTCAATGGCATTTTGTAGGACGCCCACCAATTTCATCACAGTCTCTTGGTAATGGTGCAAAATCTCCGCTGTGTACTTAAAAGGAGAGTCTCATTCCTTTCCTTCGATCGTGCCTTGCCTCCGTTCAAATCCTCATGGCCAGTGATCGAAATGTGGATAAGCTGTTTGACGAATTTCTTGCAATCCGTGCAGGACGCAGTGGCTATATGGAACAAGATGATTCAGAAGAACGTGAAAGCCAAGGAGCGGAACGAGCTAGCTGGCGGGCTGCTCGCCTGCATCAAGGGGAAGATTGCGGAGGTCGCATTCTCTCATACCGCCTCCCGAGTGGTGCAGGTAAGCCATCACACCGGGCCCATTTCTCATGAAGTTTTAAACTGCTTCTCCTTACCTTGCAATGACTGTATTACTTTGCCGACCTCATTGCTCATAAGCTAGCGGCAGGGCACACCACCCCTGCTCGGAAATTACAAGTTACATCGTAGAGACTTCGTGCTGTGCACCCTCTCAGGATCAGCGTTCGGCTGGGACCTTCGCTTAATTAAGTGCCAATCGCATCGAAAGTCCTGTGATTTAAAGTCCTGTGATGCTTACCCCCATCCTCTGCACTGACTTGCAGGCGCTGGTCAAGTTTGGCTCAGAAACTGAGCGGGCCGCCGTCTTTGACGAGCTTCGGACCCACATTCTCGAGCTGGCGCGCAACACGTACGGCCACTTCATCATATTGCGCATGCTGGACCGCGCCAACAAAGATCAGCTGCAGCACATCATGAACGCTCTGCATGGGCATGTGGTCTCGCTGCTCAGGCATCCCAGCGGCTCTGCTGGTGAGGTTCGCTGTTTCGCTGATGTAGAAGATGGAGGCGCAATCAGCATAGAGTCAATATGGTGGGAACGCCTGGGGGTAAAGAAGGAACTACTTGAGCAAGCCAACGTAATATGAACGATTTTGGATTGATCTACTGAGAAGGCAAGGCGTGGTGGCACTATCATGGCCTCATTGATTCAGTGTTCGTAAAAGTAATCGACTAGATTGAATCTATTGGCGTTTGATGAAAAGATGGGGGCTAAAGCATACAAGATGCTAAAGTGTGCGTAGAAGAAACGCGGCTTTGCATCTGGGTAGCCTTTTTAACCCAGAGTTTCTAAAATTTTTGCTTTGGGTGTGCAGTTGTGGAGCATGCTTTCAGCACGGTGGCCACTGGGAAGCAGAAGGCGGAGTTGGTCTCCGAGTTCTACGCGGAAGAGTACCGCAGGTTCAAGGGGGTGGAGACGGGGGGCCAGGGAAAGTGAGCCCCAGTGTTCCTCTGATCCACTGCTTACTTCAATATCGGGCTATGTATCATCCGAACAATGGTTTTAATGTCTTGAGCGTGGTGGTGCCCCTTGACCTTAAAAGGCAAGTGCGTACTTTTTGGCAACGAGTATTCGCGTCTTGCATAGACTGCCATTCTCTGCATTGAATTGATAACTTCCTTACAAAGCAGGGATTGTCAGCACACTTGTCCAATCTCCATTCATGCTGACCTGTGTTTTATTCTTGGAAAAGCGAAGTGCTGATTCTCCCTATTTGTTGAAGTGCTGATTGTATTGTGATCCTTCCCAACCATACAGGCTGGCCGACATCCTGGCTACCGCGCCCCCGTCCAAGAAGGCAGCCATCTTGAAGCACACATTCCTGGCACTCCAGCCGATCCTAGAAAAGGGCATCGTGGACCACTCCATCCTGCACAGGGTCCTCGCCGAGTATCTGGGAGCGCAGCCCCCCAAGGTAGGTGTCATAAAGCCCTTTGAAGCTTCTGGTCCTGTCAAACGTCTGCTTTCCTGCACCGACAATTCCAACATGTGTTTCCAGTTCTCCTGTTCGATCCTCTCTTTCTGATCTCCCTGGAGCACGGTAAATGACCATTTTTGAGACGCTGTCTGGTCCTCCACCGAGAATTCTACATGTTTGAAACCTCGACCGTCCGGTTTTACCTCTCGGACCCTCAAGACATGATAGAGGACATCGTTGAGAGCAGCAGTTTACCTTCTTCAGACATTTCTCGTCCTCTGCTCAGCCTGACCCACCCTTTCCACCCCCCAGAGCATGGTAGAGGACATCGTCGAGAACCTGTCGGGCCCCCTGCTGCTCCGCATGGTGCACACCAAGGACGGCGCAGAGGTCGGCGTGGCAGTGGTCACTGCGGGGGGTGCCAAGGAGCGCAAGAAGATTGTGAAGGCGCTCAAGGGGACGGTCGGCAAAGTGCTGGAGGACGAGTACGGCAACGTGGTGCTGCTGCGGCTGCTGGAGCTGACGGACGACACGACACTCATCAACAAGGTGAGGAACCGGGTTAGGAACTGGGTTAGCATCTGGCATGAGGGCATGAAAACGTTCCGATTGATTTGGGTTGCGGAAAGTTGAACTCGCGAGTTTCCCACTTCACGCTATTCTGCTATTTATCACGACTAAGAGATATATAGGCTCTTGATTGTTGTTCATCCTCTACCGTTGAACCGGGTCCGGCACTACTTGCGGTTTTATCGTGCCGCAGCCTATGCTAGATGCTTGGCTCATGATGTTGCGGTAGAAGGGTTGTGACAACGTAAGAGAGCTCTTGACTCTCGGGGGGACAGAAGTGGAGGGGAGGAGGTTCAATCGTTTTGAGCATTTTGGCCTGTGAGATCGCTTGCCCGACTCCGTAGTTGTTGGAAACGTTGGAGCGTGTGGTTTCTGGACCATCAATGAACGACACTCCTTCACTGCAGGGTGTCATGCCCGAGATCCTGGGCGCCAATCTAAAAGACCTCGTGCTGCACAAGTACGCCCGCCGCGTCTTTCTTCACCTTCTGGCCCCCCTCTCTCCGCGCTACTTTCCCCAAATGGTCGTCTCGCTGCTCCAGCCCCCTAGAATTCCGACTCCCAAAGAAGAAGCCGCCGCGAAAGCGCGTGCGGAGGCGTTTAAGGCGCAGTTCGCGGAGCCTTCCGGGGCGCAACCGACGGTTCCACATATGGAACCGGTAAAGAACGAGGAAGGGGAGGAAGCCGACGCGGTAATGGGTGACGGTAATGGTGAGGAGGAGGCCGCGGGGCCATCGGGGGAGGGGGAGGGTGACGGGAAGAAGAAGCGGAAGCGCGGGGGGGTGTCGATTGCGGAGAAGAAGAAAGCGGCGGAGAAGGAGTTTGTGGACGACGGACCGATGGTGGGGGCGAGTAAGAAGGACCCGGCGCTGCGCAGGCTGGAGCTGCTGCAAGGGAGCGGGCTAGCAAAGGTGGGGGAATTATAGGCTGGTCGTACTGAACTAGGTTGGGATTCGAATTGAGGTCGGGCGCGTTCAGTTCTGTCATCCGTCACGGTTGGACGCAGGGTGTTGAATTCAGTCGGCCAACTGTTCTTGTGTCCATTAAAAGGCAGCTTCGGTTGTCAGAGGGGTCACCGTCTTACATATGCTTTTGGTCCGAGTGCCTTGATTCGAAGCCCGAAAGGATGTCGGCGCTCTTCAAAACCGAAGAGTTCGTTCAGACCGAGCTACCAACTGTCTCCCCCCCCCCCCGACCTGCCAAGCTGCCCTTTTTGTCGATAGTTTGGCGCCCCCCTCGCCTCCTTCAACTGAGTCTTCTCTTCGACTCCTTTGCAGGAATTGGTCGCCACGTGCGCAGCGAGCGCGGGCGAGTTCCTCCGTTCCCAGTGGGCCTGTGACGTCATCTTCGAGGTGGCGCGCGGCGGGGCCGACGGGATCCTGCACCGGGTAGACGGCGTGTCCGTGGTGTCGGTGCAACAGGCGATTGCGGACGAGGCTGCGGAGCCATGGCCGGCAACCCCGGAAGAGAGTACAAGCGGGGACGAGACGGAGGAGGTACGTGTCGTTTTTGTGGTTTGATTCTTGTTGTTGCAGCGCGTCTTCGTTTTTGACCCGGTTGAGACTCTGAGCGCTTCTTGCGAGCAGCATCCTTGCTTCTAGAGTGTTCTATATGGTTTGATTCTCGTTGTTGCAGCCCGTCTTCGTTGCTGGCCGCTGTGACTTCGAGCGCTTCTTGCAAGCAGCATCCTTGCTTCTATTCCCTCAAGCCAAACTGCTTCCTGTTGTCTCGATAAATCCTAATTAAGTACGCCTTGCGTCGCCGTTCGTGTCTCGCAGTCATAATGGCTCTGAAGGCTGGCTCTCAACGACCTTCTTCACTTCGGACCAAAGTTCCTTCTCGCCCATACCGACTTCACTTGTTGAATCGTTCCACTGCAACCCTCAGTGACGTGGCTCCTCGTTCTCGCAGCATGTGCTGGACCAGATGTTCGCCAATCGGACGATAAAGAAGCTGGTCGACGTACCGGCCCCCGAGGGCGACTCGAGCGCGCAGCCCTTCGCAGCGGTGCTGTACCAGGCCATCAAGGGGCGGTGTAAAAAGCTAGCCACCGGGCAGCACAGGTGGGCCGTCCGGGTTTGACCATCCCCTTGATTGCTCCGTTCAGGGAATGCTCAAGGACAATCGAATGTTGCCTTCAGTACGGGCTGAGGGCGAAACCGATCAGCCCAGTGCCGATCTCCGGCCCTGGTGTCAAGTCGCTAGGTGTGACTTCCCTCAGCAAGTCTCTCTTGGGTGATGAGCAATGGACGTCAGATTGAAAGGGCGCTTGCCGAACTGCGACCCAGAGCTTGCAGCACCTGATTGACATCTTGCTATTTCCTTTGCTTTACGAGTGCACGGGTTAGGGACCCTTTTCAGTACATGACCCGTTTTGTCCTGCTTGCTCGCACTTGAAACACCTTTTCGACATTCGCTCCTGTTGAAAAGGAAGATGTCGAACCCCGAGAGTCTTTGACACGCGGCAAAAGCTGACGTTCGAACTCTTCTATGCAGTGCCAAAGTGGTGGCCGCTCTTTATCACTGCGGGCATGAAGCAACTTCCAAAGCGGTTCGGAAGGAAGTCGAGCCTCTGTTAAAGTCGGGTGGCTTAGAGAGCACAAAGTCCCTCTTTGCAAAACCTCAAGATGCTCCAGCAGTTTCAGTTGCGAAGCCCGAAAGTAAGGCAGCTGCAGCTGAGAAGCCACGCACGAGAAAGAAGAAAGCTTCTTAGGACGGGGTTTGCCCATGCTTCGATATTGTTGACCTTGAAATCTTGACTCAGGCTACGAGCAACATCCACGTCCTCGCAGGTCTGTAGTTCTCACTCACCTAAAGACGGTATGCATGCGGCAATTCTGTCCGGTCCATTCTGCCCTTGCCGTATACTATCCTATCTATTGTTCATCATGTGAATTGATCGCACATATTATTGTGCATATCAATCTGAACATCTTCGAAGGTGCACTCATACACGCGCCAGTTGTCACGACGTCCCCATGTTGGATGCTTTCAGACTGGGCCGACGGTAATATTTGGGCCAGGCTGCGCAGTTGCAACTAAGCGTTCAAATCGCGAATATCCTTCTTGTGCACTACACATCAATCCAGCCAGCTTTCATATGCCGCAGCTGGTTTGTATGTGTACGTTCGTATCAAGATCTTGCACTACTTGTTAAGATAGACGGCCGCGGAGATATCGCAAAGAAGACCTCAACCGAAGTCCTTTCAGTGTTGTATGTTCCTTAACTGAGCATATAATAGGCACATGGTTGACTAGCATGGCTGCAGAATTGTGTATGCCATCTGGTCATGTGGTGAGATCGCATTGATTGTACAATTTGCAGGCCAAGCCGACTTCAAAGCAAGAGTCCACCTTACATAGACACACAGTTCATGAATGCAAGAGATGATGCATTGGTTACCATGCATTGGTAACCAAAAGCTGTCACTGGCAAGGAACTTCAACTTAGACAATCAGAAAATTAAGTTGAACTTTTGGAAGAGGCATTTTGTGGTTTACAACCAACCAGGCATCAATGCAGACACCGTTATCAATCAATCTAGGACGTCAACAGCAAACGACCTTGTGTCCTGCTTTCCAGTCGAGTTTTTGACAAGCTGCCCCGCAGTATACCACAAGCTTACATTTGGAGCACGCCTTGAACTGCCCCGTCACTAACTCGGCTTTCCCACAACTAGCCCAACAGCACTTCCGCAAAGCTTTACGGTCTATATTTTCGACACCAGGTAAGTTCGCTCCCTGTCCCAAGCTGGCCTCAGCACTTGCAGACATCCGCACGGTTCGGAAGTTGGGGGCGGAGAATCCAGTGGAGTAGATAGCCTCCAACTCCTTTGCCCTTTGAAGTGACACTGGAGAATGGTCTTGTGCCAAGCGTTTCAACTTGAGAACGAGCTTTGGAGCTTCAAGCCATATACGTGGATTTTTGGAAAATCCACCTTTAGGGATATCTTCGAGAGTTGACCAGTAAAGCCCTGATAGTTTGAAGCCAAACAATCTGGCATCGTGCTCCAGAGAGTCCGCTTCGCAGATGGCAAGAGCCAGAACAGCAGATTTGAACAATCTGGAATCTGGCAGGGTGCTGCACGCTGCCTTCTCCCTCAGATGGTTGTAGATCCTGCAACCCATTGTAATGTCTGTCGCGCGTTGGGAGTGAAGCAGGACCTTTGCTGTGAGCTCAACCATCGCCGTCGAAACATCCACCAATTCCAGGTAATGATGTAGATTCGCGATAAGACAGAAGGGCCCCTCGAAGATTGTGACTTCCTCAACGTTTTCTGACGCAAAGGTAACCAGTCTGAGGACAAACTTGGGGTTCTGCATAGCAAGCTCCTTTCGTAGAGGTTCCGAAAAGGCGGTCATGCGGGTCAGCGTGCGAGCAACCTCTGTGCGGATCAGTACCCCGTCCGGAACTCTAGGCTTCTCTGCCGCAATGTACAAGAGCTCTAGGATATTCAACAGGTCCGGCCTAGTCCTCAGGATAAAGCGCACTAGCCTGACGTCCAAGGCCAGGGAGCAAAGAGCATGAATCGCGACCAGGGCCTGCGACAAATGAGTTCGCACTGCCCTGCCATGCTTCTTGCACTTTGCCGGATATTCGGAACCGGAAAGGTCTGGAACCACCACCCAGTCACCCCCAGCCGCTGCTTTCAACCCCTCGACTATTGGTGCCAGAAAACCCCCTTCTAGCATGAATGTGGCGACGTTCACAGCATGTTGCCCTGCTGAGACGCTGAACACGATAGGCAGGAAGACGTGTGTGAACTCCCGCAGAGCCACCAGGCGATCCACTGCATTCTTGGACTGTGCGCCTTTCAGAGAGTGTTTCAGAAAGGTAGAGGACGCTGGCGCCTGAAGCATCTCCAGGTTTTCGCGGTCGGTGAGTTGCACTCGACCTTCGTTGACCTTGGAGAGGCAGGCTTCAGTGCAGGGACCAGCTGAGCGCACCATGTCCCTGTCTTCAGCAGCTCCAGCATTACCATTTACCTAGTTTAGGCACCAGGTTTGCAATCAAAACTAGACATGCCCACCGGCTCGGGCATCGTGACTGGCGTCTAGTATTGCTTCATTAATCGAGACTTGGCATGCCATTCCCGCCAGATTTTGGATGATCACCCGAGTCAGGGCACGCGCGATTGGGCTCGCGTACACTATCTTGCTGAAGTCTGAGACAGTCACGGTGTGCTCGCGCGGTTCTGCTCAAGTCTCTCATGTACGGTCATAGGTATTGCACACGAGCATGCTCAGTCGTTTCCGCGCGCGCGGTGCTTTTGTGCGGCCGGGCCGCGGGCGGGCCGGCCGAGGCTAACCGGCGTCACGGGCGGCCGCGGCCCGCCGCAGGCTGTACCCCGGGAATCATATTTAGTAGACCCGTGACAGGTGCGGCTCGCGCGCAACACTGCATGCAGCTGGTCGTCTTCTGTCACATGCATGCAGCTCCGTGCGGCGCCGGATGCTTTGGCAACGAGATAAGAGCCCGGGGGGTATCAAGCACCACTGACAACAGCCCCCCCATGCGGGGATGCAATGCATGCGCAGAGAGACAAGCCAACATAATGTCTCCAGGACGTGGAGGGCCACGGCAGAGGGAGCAATGACGAAAATCGTGAGCAAGCCGCGGGGCCGGCGGACGTGGTCTGCCGCCTCACTGGCGGTTAGAGGTCTGTCGACTCTGCTGATGCACTGCCTAGACAGGATTGCATGCAGCACACAGGTGCATGCTGATGCATATCCTGCAACAAAGGCAGCCGTTCCGTTCGATCAGTGCTGGAAGATTGAAACGGACGAGCTTGATCGTTTTCCAGCTCCGAAGCTTGTCTGTCAACAGAGGAGCTCCCTCCTTCCTCGCTGGTTTGTCGAAGTTTCTCTGATTGCGGTTTGACAGAGCTGAGATTCTGTCAACGAAGTACCGTTGTCAACGAAGTACCGTAGCCAAGAAATCCGCCGCTTGGACGGATTTACGTGAGAGAGAACGACAAGTGCACAATGTCTGCGTCCTCTGTTCGTTTAAGCCTCTCACCTTGCATCAGCGCTTTGAGGAGCAGCTCAAGTTACGCAGGAAGTGCGCCGCTGCGGCAATTCGGATTCCCTGCCATCTTCTCTACATCAGGAAAGAGTGAGTGCGAGGGGGTCATGCACAGATTGATCGGATCCGCCCACATTATGTGCTTCCTTGCCTGTGCAAGGATTTTCGTCTATGTTTGCTGGTGCTGCTGTTGTTGAACCTTTCATATTGGAGGGATGCCGCATGTCTCAGCTGAGGTTGCCTATTCTGAGTTTTTGTTCTGGGATGAACACACCATGTGACAGAAGGCAGTTGAAGGGGCAGATGAGGGTGTGAGCAAAGGCCTTTCTCACCAGCTCACCTCCTCAACAAGGGTACCTGATGTAAAGTCTGGGAACACGTCCTTGTGGGGCAAGCAGATCTTTGGTGGTGGTGTCAGAAACAGCATCCTGAAAAATTGTGTGGTGTCAGAAACAGCATTCTGAGAAGATTCACCCGCGTCAGAAACAGCATTTTGAGAAACTCATTTCGAAACTTGAGTTCAGTGTTAAAGTTAGTTTCCCACTTCGACCTGACAGCTTTGGCAGTCAGAAGTCCATTTCGAGCCCTCAAAAATTCGTGTGAGTCCCCAGAAGACCAACCCGTTTTGTTGCCACACACGACAGTCGCAAGCAATTAGCTTTGCAGAAGAGGGCGAAAACAATGAGCAAGCATTCTGAACAGCTCCATCTTGTACCTAGGTGCAAGTGTTTCTGGGATAGTGAGATCCGTCTGGCACCATCTGGTCTTTCCTTCTTAAACTAACGCAAATTACCTACAAATTAATCGACAACAATCAAACAAGCACACCATGGCACCTTCCTTTCATTGCAGAATTGCAGGATTCGTTCACAAATTATGAACTTGCGTCCGGATGTCTACTATCGACTGCAATTCTTCCATTTCCACTTCCTGATAACACTTTCGGAATCCTTTTCTCGCAGGATACCACGCAACTAGAGCGGAGGGCACCATGGACAGGGTGAAGAACGCCGTGGGACAGGGCATCGAGTCGGTCAAGCTGGCCGTGCAAGACCCAGATGTTCACGAAGCGGCCAGCCGCCCAGGAACTAGCCTGGGGACAAAGATGGAGAAGGGCCTGGAGAAGGGGGCCGAGCTGGCGGAGACCACTGCCAAGAAGATCAATCCTGACATTATGACCACCCTGGACGGCCGTCCCCTTGGGGACAACTACAACAGCATCTCGGCGGGGAAGCAGGGGCCCCTGCTGCTGACAGAGGACATCAACCTGTACGAGAAGAACGTGAGTTCCTTGCGAGCTTCTTCAGGTCGACATTTCGAACCGCTCAGAAGTTGCGGCTCAGAAATTGGTGGGAGTAAAGCCTGCATCTGTGAATGAATACTGTACCAGCTCTTCATCAACTTCCTCAGTTTTTTGCGCCTGCTAATCGAAGTCAGTCGAACTTGGTCGGTGGCTCGGTTTTTGGCAGCTGCTTAACTCAAGAGTCTAAATTCTTCGTCGAGTATACTTCCTTTTTTGATTATTCAGCTTGTCCAGATCTTACTGTGTCGTCAGTGTATATCTTCATTTAAATAATGTCCTTCGATTGGTTCTGACAATCTTCCGTAGTGATTGTTGACAGGTCCATTTTGTCCCTACACACGGGATATTGTTTGTGTCTTCATTGGTGTGTCGCCATTGTTCAGTTGCAGGAGTGTCCTCTTTTGCGTCCGAGAATTTTGTGCTGCTATTTCACATTCGATCATTTCGTCGGTGACTGAACAGGTTTGCTCATTAGAAGGATTTGTGGGGCTGAAAGCGTATCTTATGGTCGTCACTCGTGCGTCTGCGCAGGCTGCCCTGAACAGGGAGCGTGTTGTACCGCGGGTCGTCCACGCTAAGGGCGTTGGAGCGTTCGGAAAGTTCACCGTGACCAACTCAGACATGGCCAAGTACACCGAAGCCAAGGTAAGCTTCGTTTCGTTTCTCTCTTCTTCGCCGCAATCTTGATCTCGAGAAGCGATGTTCAAATGCTGGTTCGTCGGTGTTAAAGACGCAACGCACAGGGGTTTGAAGTTTGTAAATGCCACAGGCTTATGTATTGGCGAAGCTCAATTGATGGTTAAAGTGACGTCGTATTGAGTACTCTGGTAAGCACACACGTTGGTAGTTCGTTCCGAGGATCGAAAACGGGGCGTTTTCAGGGAAAGTTCTTCTCAAAGCTGACGGTCAGCTTCTTATCAAGCCGCTCGATTCCCACCCTCACCAAGTTCGTTTTGCTCTCTTTTTTTCCTGGCAGGTCTTTGAGTCTGGCAAGTCGACTGAGATCTTCTGTCGGTGGAGTGGAGTCACTGCTGAGCACGGTAACTCGGACTCGGTCCGTGACATCAGGGGATTCGCCCTCAAGTTCTACACCGAGGACGGTGAGCAAGAGGAAACCTTACTAGGAAGGTTTTGAAAGTTATAGAAGATTAAGGCCAAGGCGATGTCCAGCTTAACGCCCTGCGAGTGCCGAAAGTCTAGAAGCTAAGTATTAAAGCGAGATTACTCTATGCTGGTTCACATTGGATTCTTTGTAGTATTCTCAGAAGTTCTTAATGTCACTCATGTTATCATTCTAGTTGGATAGAGTCACGTCAGCGCAGCATTTCATGTGTTGGTTTTACCCTTCGTGCATTTGTTCACTCACTGTTATCTGCCCTTGTCTGCAGGCAACTGGGATCTCGTTGGCAACAACTCCCCTATTTTCTTCTTCCGGTGAGGACATATCACGCATGTGAAACTTCGCGTTAATCGCGATGCAAGTACGTTCAAAATGCTTGCTTGCCCAGAATATTGACGAGCGGACGATCCCAGCACCTTCAGAACAGAATTCTATTGACGAGTTTGATATTCTCTGGTCCGTTGTCCAGACTCCATCAAGTCCGCAAGTTTCTGATCCAATCGGACCTAATGATGATTGCCGTCATGTTTCAGGGACCCCGTGAAGTTCCCCGACCTGGTCCACTCGCTGATGCGCGACCCTCGCGGCCTCAAGTCGTGGGTGCACCGCTGGGACTTCTGGGGGCTGACCCCGGAGTCAGTCCACCAGGTACGCGGCCAATTCACCATTTGACCTCACTTCAAACACGGGGGGAGGTTCTGTGTATGGACTCTGTGTCGTTGTCTTTTCCTTTTTCCCCGTTTCCTTTTTCCACAAATTTGCTTCACCGCGATACTGGCACTTCTGAATGCAATACCGCGACGGTGTGCCCTTTCGTTACATCTTGATTCGGCTTTCTCCTTGAAACTGCTTCGTCTGTGAATGCCTCTCCTCGAAGCTTGGCCTTTCCCTACAAACAAGGAAGCCGAGCCCATGAGCCAGAGGCCAACAAGTGTGATGGTCATGCTCTGTTGGGCATACGCAACGGGTTCCGATGCCGTGAGATCTTTGTCCTGCCAGGTGCTGTGGCTGTTCGGGGACCGCGGTATTCCTAAGAGCTATCGGTACATGAACGGTTACGGAGTACACGCTTTCTCCATGATCAACAAGGACAAGGAGCGTGTCTGGGTAAGCTTAATTTGAGCGAGCAGCGTTCTCGTTTATCTGGACCATCAGGCATTGCGTATCCGTGGGGGTTGTCGGCAACCCATGTGTGTAATGTCGAGATGATGAGCAAGGTTTTCGTTTCCATCTTTATGATCGTATCCAAATCCCAAATGCTTGATAAGTCATTCAAAGGTTGTTCTCGAGCATGTAGGTCCTTTTTTATAGTAGGTCTTCCACACCACCGCATCCATTGCGTTCCATATTGCAGGTCAAGTACCACTTCCACAGTCAGCAGGAGATTAAGAATCTGACCTCCGAGGAGGGCATCGACTTGTCGGGCAAGGATCCCGACTTCTTCAACAAAGACATGATCAATGTAAGCAACGTTCGGTTGGCACCTATTTTTATATTGCCTGTGTCTTCCTTATCTTCCTAATGTCTTGCATATCTACTTATAGACTGGTGGTGTATCGATAGAAAGTTCTGAGATAGTACGCTCTCGTTCCCATATCTACTTATAGACTGGTGGTGTACCGATAGAAAGTGTTGAGATAATACGCTTTTGTTCCCCAAGCTTGGGAGTTCTATTGATTTGGAATGCGATTGGTGTAGCATCAGATGTGTCTGCCATATCCTTTTTGCGCCGCAGATCGCGTTCATTTGGCAGCTAAAGAAGCATCTCTATTTTTCCAACTCATGCACAACTTGCCCCCCCGTTTCCCCACACCCCGTCCGGGCACTTTTGACATATTTGAAACGATTGCGGGTTGGTTCATTGCGCTCTGGCAGTTCTCTAGCAGGCGGGAATGCCTCAAGAATTCCTTTGTTAGAAGTGCTAATCGGTTCTCATCGGTTCCTGGAAGTAAAATCTGCTGGTTTCTCGCAGGCCATTCGGTCGGGCGAGTACCCCAAGTGGAAGATGCACATCCAGGTGATGACGGAGCAACAGGCGGAGCAGCTGTCGCACGACCCCTTCGACGTCACCAAAGTCTGGAGCCGCCACGACTTCCCGCTCATCGAGGTACGAAAGGCAGCTTTAAGATCTGCTCAAGTTTAATGCTGCTAAAGAATCTTCCGCTGGAAAGGATCCGGTTGCAATGAGCTCTGCGAGTTCCGGAGTCTTGAGAACGATTTTTGCCGGATTGCTTGGTGTGGGATTGGCAGGAACAGATTGCGTGAGGATTGGGATCTCTAGGGTGTTTAGTCACGATTCGGGGCGACAGATAACTGAAGTCGACATGTTATGCGAAGTAAACATGTTTTAGCGAAGTAAACGTATCAGTTCAGGTCTGAAATCGGTTCTTAGGATTGATAAGCGGGTGCTTTCCGATACACCAATCCTGTTAGGGCGTCGATCTCTTGATTGTTACAGAATAACGAAGGTGTTTCTGTGCTTAGGTGGGTGAGCTCGAGTTCAACCGTGTCCCGGAGAGTTACTTCCAGGACGTCGAGCAGGCAGCTTTCGCCCCCGCCAACATTGTTCCGGGGCTGGGCTTCTCCCCCGACCGACTCCTGCAGGTGGGTAGCTTCGCTTTCACTATTACCGCTCTCGCGCTGAGTTGTTTTGACCAATCTTAGATCGATTCAAAGGCCTCCGAATGTTCAGGGATGTCTTTCTCTGCACGCTGGCTGTTATCGCCGTCTCTCATATGAAATTCTTTCAGCTGCTTGCTTGGTGATGTCCGCAAGTTGGACCTTAATCTGTTGTACCTCTTAACAGAACTGGTCTAATCTGCAGGGACGGCTCTTCGCCTACCGCGATGCACACAACCACCGTCTAGGCATCAACGGTTTCCAGCTGGTGAGAATTGCGCGGCAGTTCGCCCCGCTACACTGCAGTATTGTAGCCCCACCTATGGTTGCAGGGGCTTGCCAATCCACATTCTTTTCTTTTGATCCACAGTCTTTTTATCCTCTGTCAAGAGTTATCTTGAGAGGTATTCCGCAAGATATGTTGCCTCTTTCTGGATTGCTTCTTTCCTGCACGTCTGTACGTTTCGTGTTTGGTCACGACGTACGAACTTTGAAATGCTCAACTCGCGTTGTGTTGCAGCCCGTGAACCAGCCGAGGTGCCCCATCCACACCTACCACCGCGACGGAGCCTTCAGAATGGACGGCAACGGCGGGGTAAGGCGTACACTTTGTGGATCAGGAATACTCAAAAGACTGCTTCGTGAATCTTTGGGACTTTTTCTTATAGGATATGGGGGTGTCTGGGTTATACAGAGAGTTACAGTAGTGATACTACGTTCTCTGAACGTGCTTCTTTTGTTGCCCGGTCAAGAGTAGAGGACTTCCTTCTGGTTGGTAAATTTGGATAATTTGTCTCGTCGATCTTCCCCTCGAACAATCTTCTGACAGACGGTGGATCATTGATCTCGTCGACCTCCCCTCGGTCAATCTTCTGGCTCGATCTTGCACTCATTGCTCGTTTTCGCGGCTTCCTCAGATGGGTCCTCACTACGAGCCCAACAGCTTCGGCGGACCGCAGCCGGACCCCAAGTACGCCGACCCGGCGATCCCAATCAACGTGACCGGCCCGGGCATGCGCTACGAGAACCACTACGGCAAGGACGACTTCATGCATGTGAGTTGACAGAAACAATCCATTGTACGTCATTAAAAGTAGATGATTTTTCCATTCCTGCTGAGTTGTACGGGCGTCTACCCCCGGCTTTTATTGATGATGGTCACAAGTTGCTCGTGCACTGGGGAGTTGCTATTCTGGTCCAAGGTTCTGAATTTGGCCTTTCCGCATTTGGTCCGTAATGTTTAGTTCCACATTCAGTGATACCCTCACCGTTTCTGCTTTGAAACCTGCGAGCGTTTTAAAGATTTTGACAAGAGTTCTGGAGCACCCCCTTCCACAAAAAATGCATTTTATGAAACGCAGTCTCAAATTGGAAGCTACGTGTGTGCGCAGGCGAAGGCCATGTGGGAGATGTTCGAGCCGGACGAGCAGGAGCGTGTGATTGCGAACATGGCGCGCTCCATGAAGGAGGGTACCGAAGCCGGGGTAAACTCGGAGCCGGTCCCCGAGCTGATTCAGCAGATCAACCTGTACAACTTTGCCCGGGTGGACGAAGACCTGGGCAACAAGCTGGCCGCGGCTTTGGGGCTGGACCTCAAGAGCTCGATGGATGTCGGGAGGAAGACCCTGGAGCAGTTGTACAGCCGGCAGACGGCCGGGACCCACAAGGATTTGTCCCCCGAGTCTTAAATTGAGTCGGTGAAGTTTGATACGTGCAGAGTAAAGACCAAACAAAGTTTTGGCCGTGCATAAGCTAGCGCAAGCGAGGCAAGTCTAGAGGCAAATCTAGATGCAATTTTGTCGTTCCACAACTTAATAATTGGCTTGGCTGAAATTTCCCGTAGATCAGATGTTATCTGCCCAAACTTGTACAGTTTGCCTTCGCCTGGATAAGTGCGTCCTGCATAGATTGTGAAGTGGCCGGCTTCTTGAACCTGGTGTCGGCTGAACACTTATTACCGGCACGATTTTGCAACAAATAGACTCTAGGACTCTTGCATGTCAAAGCATCATTGCTTGAAAAGTCGATTTCCAAAAGTGAAAAAACGTTTCGATTTTCACGATGCGTGAGTAACCTTGCTTGTGTCCTCAATTACTTCGAAACTCTTTGAAGATAAGCTTTGAATTGGCTTGCCAACGTTGCATGTTTCTTTGGTACTGGCTGCATCGGTAGAATGGATCAGATGTGATATTGCTGCCAATGTTTGCGCATGCGGCTCAAAAATGCGGATGTGAAAACGCATGCATGCATTTTCATGCATTTTCTAGACCTTACAATTTTGCGCTGTTCACTTACGTTTACTTAGCTTTCTAAACGGGTATACAAATACTCAGTTTGTTTATCGCGAATAGTTGGCTGGAAACGAATGTATTCGATGAACACTCATGTGCACACGCACATATGAACGGACAAGAGCAACGTATGTTCACTAGCTTTTCTAAAAAGTGGAGCTAGTAAAGATGTCACATGTCATTCGTCCAGTCACACATATATGGCGCTGTTGGAAAAGTCGCGACCGGGCCTGCTTCCAACTCGGAGGCCGTAGAAGCTACCTCCGGACGTCAGCAGATACCGTGTCGGATTCGATGAGTCATGAGGATTCTGATATAGTTGCCAAATAGAGAGTGCTCTGCGAAAAAACAGCTGTGATTCCTTTTAAAGCTTCGCCAGCTTCGCCAACCTTGTACATTTGGTCTTGATCAATGAGCCTGGCGATGGTAATCTGCATGCCGTGCAAGTATTCTGTGGCTCCTATCCTCCTGATTTTCCTTTTATATTGTTGCATGGAAAACTCTCTGTCAGGTCGATCCCGGTGCCATCGCATAGAACCACCAGCTAAGCTGCCACTTTACCACTTTGAGATTGAACCTAGCGCAAAATCTGTTGACAAACCTGCAAAATTTATAGACTACGACTTGACTGCGTGCGACGTTCAGATGCCATCCGCTGACATGTGCCTCCGGCCCATTATTTGATCTATGGCCTGCTACGAGCTACTGCACCGGCTCCATGACGTTGTCTTCGACCTTTTGTTCGACGTGGGGCAGGAACTTGCCGTTGAATACGATCTTGACACGTGGCTCCCCCTCCTTGCCCTTGACTTTCTCGACCGTCATGAAGAAGCCGATGGCAGACATACTGCAAGGTACAGCCAGTCAGTCACCCCCATCAGTACCTCGTTCACGTTCTCGCAATTCTGTAGAACGAGCTGTTTGATTCAACGATTTTGCGTCCTCAGTGGGTGTTTCTACAGAGCCCAGACTAACTTTGGCGCAGCCAGGTGTGCAGAGGCGTATGTGCTGACATGGTTGCCGTCAGGTTTTGCCAGCTCAAACGATTGATCTCCAAAGAAGCTGTTCACACCAGCGTCAAGCAACACGGTCTTGTGCTGGCTCCTCCCTCGACTTGGGCTTGCAGAGCTCAATTGAAGGCTTACTTCAAACTGTCTGAAATGCACTACAGTGGACAAGAAAACAAATTCATCGGCAATCAAGGCATCAAGGCTGGGTAGCTGTGCAAGCTCTTACATGCCGTCGCCCTGTTGCTCGTTCACGATGTCCTTAATGGCCCTCCCATAGTGCATCACGGCCTCGTTCAGACGGTAGATGACTGCACACAAGAAGCCCACGTGTGAAAAGGCTTCCAGACGCAATAGCTAGAAGGATGCATTTTCAAGGGCCCGGCAAGTACGCAATCCTCGAAAGGCAGGCCAAACGGCAGGCCATAACAGGTTCCTTAAAATCAGCAGCCACAGGATAATCGAACTCACTGCATCTGAGGGTCGCATTAAAGAGTAAGGTGACCAGAGTCGGAGCCCAATCAAGGGAAAATGCAACAAACCTCTGGCTGTCTGGTCAAGGGAGTCAATCAGAGTTTTCTCTTCAGACGCTCTTTGAAAGGTGCAGACAAGCAGATCACTACAAGCAAGTGAACCAACCCGCCACCAATGAAGGGACAGGAAGCTGTGCCCAATTAACTCCTTGACTAAAAGTCCGTCTATATTTGGCAATGCGAAATAATCATTAAGTGTCAAGATATGTTCTGTCTCTAGCCAAAGCAGGCACTGCTAGTGCGCCTCGGATAGGCTGAGCAGTGGCGGGCGGAGGGAGCCCAAGTCAGCTTCATAATCGCTCAGCTCATATACCTCTACTTGCTTTTGCTGTATTCTGCTGAGCATCTTTGAAATGTCTTGCATCATCGTATTGGTGGGGGCGTGTTATCAAATCCACCAAACAGCGAGTTACTCACGTGGCTCTTGGATGATGGTCGGGTCGAAGGACCTCATGGGTTCCTTCTTCATCTCCTCGGCATCAGCATCGCTGAGGTCTGGTACTGCTGCTTTGAGCTTGGGTGCGGTGTCGGATTTCAGTTGAGCCTGAGGAAAGAGCAACACGTTCATCACCACACTAGAAGAAGCACTTGTCTATACTGGGCAGGTCAGAATCGGTTGTCCTTTGAATCAAGATATTGTGGTCAAATCACATGGGGGCATCCTCCAAAAAGACCATTTCAAAGAAGTGCAGATCCCAGTTGACCACATTCTTGCGGTATATGACTCTGAGGTTCGAGCGCCAAACAATCACGAGAAATCACTCCGACTTCGTCTCAACAATCTGGTCCTGAATACAAAAGCCCGGAAAGCCACCACACTGCATTCATCAGCAATCATTTAGACCTACCCTACAACCAGCGGCAAGGAAGTGTTGCAATGCACGAGATCCTGAGCTAAGAGAGAACGCAACGATGCTGCATTCATACTGTAACTCACCAGCACTTCACAGCAAAGCGCATGAGGTTAAAGGAAGCACAACAACAGAGGGTTCCGATTCAGAGCTCAGAAACGAGCTGGTTCGTGCATGTGAGACAGTGCCTGGCCTACCTGGTTGAAGAAGAGCTGCGCAGTGTATGCATTTGTCAGCCCAACCTCCTTCGCAATCTGATCATACGTCTTCCCTGAAAGCAGGTAAGAGATCATCAAGAGCAGAAGAGTGCAGATTCCTGGGACTCATTCAGACAACCACTGTGTGTGCATTGCAGGATATTGTCAGCGTTACTTGCAGCATTGTGCCATTCAGCGCTTGGCTTTGAGTTAGAGCTCCTGCTTGAGTTGCATATGTTGCGAACACAATGTGGATTGCATTGAACGTCAACAGTTGACAAGCTACCCTGGATCAGCTGCACTACGCAGAGAGAAGCGCTCCAATGAAGGCACTGCATGCAACGAATAGACTCACCAGACTTGGCCTTGGCAGCCAGCAGCCTCTGCACCAGAGCTTCTTTCTGCTCCAGAAGCGCCATCTTGTGTCTGTTTCTTCTCACGGAAGCTTGCGGTTGCGATCCACAGCTAGCTGACAATGAAAAGGCCTTGGTTACACGAGAATGCCTGCGATGCTGCGGCCTTGCCTTCTATCACAAAAGTGGAGAGTGAGAGAGACTGGAGTGATGAGCGAGTGAAGAGCAGAGAGGAGCTGGCACCAGCACTGGTGCAGCAGCTACAATATCAAACTACAACGCAACGCGAGTCACAGCGCCCAGTCCAACTTCTACTACTAGTCCTACCAGATTCGTGAGCAGAGAGCTTTTTGAGACGCCGAAAAGCTGCCACATGGCATATGCATGATTGCAAGAGCTCAATTTTGGACCCTCATGGCGTCAGCAGATCTTGTCGGCCCTCAGGTTGTTAGCATCGACGATCGTGGTTCAACTGCTGGTCGGAGGCAACGGCCGCGATTGAGTCCGCACACAAAGATTTTCGTCAACCTTGGGAAGTAAGCGTGTGTTCAATGTTGTAACGACTTGGGGGAAAGCCACGTGGTAGTCCTTGGACCAACAACTGCTTTGTCCAAGGATACTGTTGGGAAACGACCGTCTTCTCTGTCTTCGGAGGTCTCTCCAAGGCTCAGAGGTTGGGCTTTCCGGCTCCGATTGACTGGCTTCGTGTGCTCTGGGTCAGTCCCCTGGTACTGTGCCTACAGTAGGTAGTAGTATTGCTGCCGGAAATTGAAGAACTGAAGATGGAAGCGGGGCGCCTCATACATATTATCATATTAGAGGAGTGCCTTAGAAGGTGTTGGTCGTAGATACCACTGGTTTCCTCGTGGCATGAGAATCAGTTCGGAAGCAATCCTTGCACAGATTGGCCCAACATCGTTCTGACTTTTGACGAACTTCGCCACCCACTCAACGATGCTAAACTGGCATGCAAAAAACTGGTAGCTCATTCACCCTCGTGTAGGTGACCGATGCGGCAGTACTGCTGGTCCAAGTGCAGGGACTCAGAGTAGCAAGCGGAGGCATGTAGGGGAGCTAGTCGAGGTCTGGGCCGGGATCTTATGTCCACATTCAGCTAGACATCCATCCGAGCAATTTCTGGATCAAGGGCATCCGAAATGATTACAGGCCATGCGAAAGTTCAGCGACGAAGTTCGCTACGGTGGACAGTTTCACAGATGCCCACGGATCAGATTTTTCAATCCGCACAGCGCCGTGGTAAAGAGCGCATGGTTCAACGGGGCCGAGTCATTCTGAGTCTCTGGAACTTCTGCTTTACCTGACTCAGCACAGAGGACGGTTCGATGTGCCGCGCCAGAAGAGATACTTGCCGTACTAGAGACAAGCAACGTTCATCACATCAGGACTCAGCTACTGCAGTACACATTAGAATCTCTTTGCGGCGCAAAACCGGTCAGCCAGTGTTCATAAAGACGTACGCGCTTTGAAGCTGCCGGAAACTTGACCCGAGACTCATGCAGACCTCGTGGAATAGTATAAATTCAAGCCCATGACAAACGTACCCTGATATCCGCTTCAAGAGCGCTTGATCCGATGATATCGAGCGGTCGAGTCACTTTATAACCACGGCAGAGGGTTTGTCATAGCCTGCAGCTCACCATTTTGACAAGTGTGTAACAAGTCATTTGCTAAAGCCCTCGAAGCACACACGTCAAAAGTGGTGCCACATAAATTGCATTATAATACTAAAAAGCTCTTCGATTACGCTTCGGTCGACGCTTCCGACGATGTTTCTACACCGCCAATAACTGAAGCGAGAAAGGCAGTGCTAAACAATCTTCGTTGCATATGACAGACAACCGACAAGATTGGCAATCAAAGAGACTTGCTCGGTCATGCTGGCACCGTTTTAAGACCCACGTGCGTTCCTCTGGGACTGGGTGAGATAAGGTCATGAGATGGGGCTCTAGACGAAAGTGATCAAGATGGCAAGAGTCAGAGTCAAACGGCTCAGCGACTCGCCAAGCAAAAAGGTCAGCTTTGATGAGTCTACTTCGAAATATCGTTGAAGTGCCAAGTCGTACTTTTCGTCCAGATTGAAGTTTGAAATGATCTGATCGTGAAGCCTGATTGAGATCGGAAATGATCAACTGCTCCATGAAACACTGGCAGGTGCACAGAAAAAGCGACGTAGTTTGCACAGCTAGAGGCGTTTGTCCCTAGACTCTGTGAATTCGATAAGAAGTGGGTCACGCCTCATTCAGTACGAGCAGTCGACTGCTAGCTCGCCTTTTCTGGTTCTCTTAATTTTCAAACGGCCGTTCTGATTGAGACAGGGTACGGTTTCCTCCTTGCCACTGTCGGCAAAAGACGTGCTGATGATCATGACATCGAAATATCCAGGTGCTAAGGTGCGTGCGCGCCTTTAACTTCTTCTCAACCTGACTCAACCCACCGTACTAACTGGTAAGACGCCAAGCCCCAATGATGTGTTGACAATCTGACGGATGAAAGCCAGCAGTCCTTAAACCCTTCAGCCTGAGCGAAAGCTTCACTGGCTACCGTTCGTATCCGGTGCGCCCTCCAGTCACTCCTCACACTCCGACACGACTTACGGACTCTGACTAGTGCCGCCGCATCTCGACCGTCGATGAAAGCAGCATCTTAACGGACGGTTGCCGATCGATATGTCGAGAAGCTTCGGCGCCGACAGGTTTTCTAGAATCTTCTGTGTCGTCCGATAGCAGTGCAGTGAGTAGAAGTTGTATATCGGCGGTTCGAAACGCGTTTCGAGAATGTTCCAGAGAGACCGAACTTAAGTGTGCGAACATGCTAATCATTGGGCAAACATGTTAGCAGACTGTAAGCTCTGCACATGTGCGTCTTTCCCCCTCGCTAGCTCTCAGACTCAGTTCAGGATTCTTAAAACGCATCAATCTCGCATTTGAGCGTCATTCTGCAGCAAAAACGCACACATCAAAACTTCATATTCACGCACACAGCTAGCCGAAACGACTTGCAACCGCGTTAATCTTTCCGGCACCCTCAATCAGCTATCAGCTTGGGGTCAGCTTGTGGCTTCCCAGCTCAGCGCAGAAGATGGCACTTTCTGCCTCCCTCTTCGATGACCCCTGGCTCGGCTCAGCGGACCCGTTCAACATTCTGGACAACTTCAGCACGCTTGTAGATTCATCTCTGACTCCAGCTCAGGGCAGGGGCAGGGAGGGTGCCAGAAGGCCCTCTGCCTTCACCAGAGCACCGGTGGATGTGCACGAAAACGAGACTGCATACGTTTTTGAGGCGGACCTCCCTGGGCTGACAAAGGGTGACGTCAAGGTGCAATTGGAGGACGACGGCAAGACCTTGAACATCAGCGGAGAGCGGCAGCACGATCAGAAGAAGAACTATCACAGGTGAGTGCACCTGGTGGCTTGCAAGTCTGAAGTTCATTGAGCAATCCTGAGGTTGTAAGGTCCGAATGCGCATTGACTCAACGAGTAGCTCTTTCTTCCACAGTCCTGTGGTAGAGTAGAAGTGTCTACAGTAATTAAAGCACTGGGTCTGAGCTCCGTGCCCAAAAGTCAGTGACTTTTGATTTGTTTTTTCTCCTGTTCTAATAAGGAGTGGGAACTTTGTGCAATCAGCAACTCGAAAATTTCAAAGGAATAGCTTGGTCAAGAAGGGTTGAGTTGTCAGTAATCCTTCATTTGGAGCTCGAGCTGCCAAATCATCCAGCTCGACTGCCATAAGTAGGCAACTGAGAAATTGCATTGGCAATATCTCAAGACGTTGACCACACTTTTGCTGCGTCCTGCATAGGAAGTTTGTCACTTCACCCACATCATCCCCTTTTCAAATGAATGATGGAACGTCATTCTTCTTCGGAAGCAATTTTTTAAGAAGACGTCTACCTCTTCTGTTTTCACACGATCCGAGCTTGTTCAGGACGAAGTAAACTTTAGAAATTACTGAAGATTGCTTTATGTGGTGTGCAGGCAGGAGAGAGGACGAGGCAAATTCCAGAGACGCTTCCGGCTGCCCGAAAATGCCAAGGGAGAGAAGATCAGCGCAGCAGTCAAAGACGGTAAGTGACCTCTCTTCGCCAAAGTTGTTCAAATTCAGGCTTCTAAGATCAGGCTCGAATAGAAGCGGGCTGCCATTGCACGGCCCAAGGTTTTCAAGGACAGGGGTGTGATGCTCATATTCACGATGCTCATTCTAAGAGCGACTTCAGAATTGTCAAACCTGGAATCTTAAAAGATGCCTGAGAGGAACCTCTGCCCAGAGTTAACCTCGCAGCGAGTTTCCTGGTACACTGTGGAATTCTGATGGGGGATTTGTGTTTGCAGGCGTGCTCACTGTGACCGTGCCAAAGGAAAAGCCACCGCAGCCGAAGGTGATTGACGTCCAGATTGACTAAGCTGATACGCAGAATGGTGACACGATCAGGAAATCAGAGGCCGCTTTCGTTCGTTCGTTGTAGGACGAAGTGCTGATACATTTCAGAACAGGAAAGAATAATAGCTGGACTTCAAGTCGTTGGCTGGGTGCCTCTGAACGGATGTTTACGCAAGTTGGCACAGGACGATAAACTTTTGAGCTTGTCGAAACCCGGGCAACACTGTCGTATCACAGCCGCCAAGCCGCCTTGAATCTCGTAGATTGATGGCAGTCTCTCCTTGTAAAGACCACTATAGACCAGCTATTCATAAAGGTCAAGACAGACAGGAACTTCGTGAAGTAGATCAACATATCCAAGCTTCATTGCGGAGATTAACGGTACATCATTCAATTAAGATTGCATGGCAGACGTCACTTTTATCCTCTTAGCTTCAAGTACAAGCAAGTATTTACATGTTGTTCTTGCGCCAGCGCCCTTCTTGAAAACATGACGCGTTATTGATCATGCAACAGCTCGATTCGTGATCTTGACGAAGCGTGCTGTTTATATGCACCTTTAGTACCGTATTATGTGTCACGTACAATGGTCATTAGAGTTCGCCAGCTTGAGTTTACGATGACCTGCGCATGCACATGTGATGGAACCGATTGCACACAGGCTAGCTAGTAGCCACGATGTCTGTCGTTTGAAGTCACTTGCATGGTCGCTTATACAAATTGAATCGGGCGGCGCGTCGACGAGACGGTCATAAACGTGTGTGAGTTTTAGAGAGCATTTCATGCATGATGACAGGCTCGCTGACACATGCATGATTGAGAATCCAATATGGCGCGGCCGCGCGGTTCGTATCCAGATATCTTGTGGAGATTGCACGCGTTGCCAGGCCGAATCATTCATGAATGCATGTGCCGAATGTCACATCTAAACGCGGGAGCATGATTAATCATCTGCAATCAAGCACATGTGAAGTGCACAGGAAGCAGTTTGGACGGTTCATATTTTCATGTGCAAACGTAAGTTACTAGCAGAGCGTAATATCAAGAGCAGAGCATGGTCAAATGATTCACGTGCACCTAGCAAGTCAATGCCTCGTGTTTTTGAAGGAATGATCCAAGCTCGCGCGACTCCATCGGCTCATGGCTGAAACCAGGCTTGGTTGGGAAAGAGTTCAGCCTTGCATCACCAACCGGATACACCCGGAGACCTGGTATCAAGGCCCGCGCTCTATTCGGACAGTCGAGAAGAGTTAGAGAAGCCTGGACTTACACCTTGATTGGGCGGCATGTCGGATCCCTGAGTCAATTTTGGGCTTCACACAAACTTGGCAATCTCTTTGACCGTCGTGTCGGCCTTCATTGGCGGAAACGAGCTACTTAGCTCGCCGCGAAAAATTTCTGTGCATCTTTTTGACCTCGACTTCGGCAGGACTCAGATGCGAGAAACAATCAGATCAAGTACTTCCAAGGTATTGGTGCAACATCCGGGTACGGATCGGGCATGGTCAGTTTGATCTGATCGAATCTGACATCACTAACCGGTGTGAAGTAGAGTCGGAGGCCAGCAGACTGCTGACAACCGGTGGATCCGTTTGACCTACAGCGTGCTCAACTTAGGCGTGCTTTTGGATAAGCTCTGGACCTCAGGTTGTACTGACGCGGTAGCACCTTGCTCCCTGAACACAGGGCGAACCCCAATCTGCAACAAAGAAACACCCTGGGCCGTCAAGCTGAGAGCGTACTGAAAACAACGGAGGACCTTCCGGTGCTCACCGACTCAAACCTGTAACGGGTGGAAAAGGAGCATGCTCGATCGACGTCAAAAGCGTTCTGAGAGATCTCCATACCGAGCCGACTCCACAGGCGTTCGGGGCGCAGTCCGGTTGACTCTCAAGAATCCTTTTGACAATATAGACCATGGCCAGCAGACCGCACGCAAGCTCATGACCACCAAAGCTCCCGGAATCCTACAGTAGGCGACTATGCCACCAGATCTGTGTTGTCTTACCTCGTCAATGCGCTTCACAACGACAGCACACGGCGGCAGCTCCCCGTGGTGTCACTGAAAGCCCCACAGCTCCACGTGCAGGATCCCGTACTCCTCAGGCCTGCATTGGCTTTCCAGTCAGTGGTTAAGAACCCTCCAGATCTGAATCTTCCGCATTATGCAGCACGCAGACTGGTCCCAAGACGGTGCTCAGAGCGACAGAGCTATTTGTGAGATAGTCCTCGAGATCCTTAAGGAGCCGAGGGCCCACTCTTAAGATCGGACGCTCTCCGGATTCCGTCATACGGATCTTGCGACTTTCAGCGGACAGGCACAGGAAACACACTGCCGTCCAGGAACAGCAAAGGCTTGAACGCAAACAGGGACGAATTTTTCGATACCAAGTTTTTGCAAAAGCCAAATAAACTTCTCTTCAATCGGGGCCGGCAACTTACTTGACTAGTGGGCCGTTGCCGAACGTTTCGCAGGCGCCCGTGCAACCGCTGAGGAGGTCGCCCCTGACCGACAGCGCAAAGTGGCTCCTGCGGCGGAAAACGCTAGTCAGGGCGGTTCGAAGAGGTCGTATTTCCTCAGCTAGACCTTTGCGAATCAGGGACATCGAAAGAAAAACCCGAGCAGCTTCAAGAAGCAGCGCAACGTTGTCGAGATTGGAAACGAAACGGCTGGTCGCTTTGGACTGCCTCACTCCGGCGATGGAAATAAGGACGTCGGTTTTGACCCCATGTCCGACTGAAGTACGCAAAAGTTGGAAGCTTACGCCAAGCTCATCACTTTCAGCCTTTCCAGCGAGTAAAGATTGGCACGGGTTTCCATAAAAGCGGACGAAGTCAGCACTCACCCGCCGCCTATGTGGATGGAGTCCGGCGTGCCAAACATGATGTAGTTGTTGTCCCGCGTCCATCGGTAGATGCGCATCTCGGGGTAAAGCTGCAGAGACCGAAAACAAGCACAGATGGGGGTTCAGGCTGGTTTTTGGGCTTAAGAGTAGGTCCGCTGACGGTGTTCAGAACGTCCGACCTTCGCGTCGGTTCAGGCCAGTTGGCGCGTCTGGCAGGGGACAAGCGGCGGCAAAGTTTTCGACCCTATACCAGGTCCTGCTCTGTTTCATGTTGACGATCAGCTGGCCGAGCGGAAGCGTACCTCCTTATCATCGAGTACGAGATACTGGGAAAGAGAGGGTCATACCTGGAAGACGAAACTCTCCCCACTGCCATAGTAGCGCGGGTGGACTTTCCAGCTCTCCGAGGTATGACAACCAAACACCTGCAGGGCGCAAATTGCAGGTTTTAAAGGTAAAGCGGAGTCCTCGTGCAGGGACCTGCCCAACCTTAACCACGCTCCTCTTTGTGGTTGAGCCTGGACCGAACTGATCATGACTTTCTGACGTCGATCAACCCTTACGTGCTTAGCTCTTAGTTGCAGACAACCAATGATGCTTGCGGTCATGTTGTGTCAGCGAGACAATGAGGAGACGAGATGATCAGAGAGGATGATTGCAGTAAGACCAGAAAGACAATGGGTGCAATAAGGGAGAATCGGATGGTGCTCACGTTGTGTTTCGTGTCAAGGATGACCAGGACGCAGGGCCCCTTCTTGGCGGCTTTCCGGTACATGGTTTGCAAGCTGCAAGGTCAGAGGCACGACTGGGGTTGATGATGCGAGGGGACTTAGCAGACGTGTCCGCAGACGATCTGAACAGGTTGTTTGAGAGCTCGGCTCAATCTTCAGTCCCCGAACCTAAGATGCGCTTCGTGGAATTGGAACCAAGAAGCCGGCTACGTAAGTCATGGGTGCGAAATCATAAGCTCACCTGATGCCATCCCGCCACGTACTATACAAGAGCACCCAGGGCGACAACCGGAAGCGGACTGGCAAGGCCGCGGCTAGCTGCAGCGCACCAGAAAGAAAGGTCAGACGTAGTTGGATCGTCACCTTTGGAAAACGTACTGCGGAAGCGAGAAGTGTCCAAGAAACGGGAGGTTACTACCGGTCAAGACCAAGCTCCTCGCTCAAATCAACCCCTGGCAGTAAACTGTATTATCACTTAGAGGTCTCTAGTAAGGCTCACTTGCTGGACCTTTGACCAGATACCAACAGCTTAACCTGCTGCCAGACGATGTCGATGAGCTTTCGAACTTGTCATGGCGTCAGCTCGTTGAAAAGGTGGATCGGACCGAGATCTAAAGAGAGGAAGAGAAGAAGGCCATCACAAGGTGACTGCGAGGAGACTTTCTCACCGCACGTATGTGCGGTTGCTGCAGCACGTGCGAGTGCGGGGACATGTTCGGCAGGAAGCGCCCCTCCACGAGCGGCGCCCCCGGCTTCTCCGGAGGGGGGAGCCCCGCAACCGGATCCGACTCAGGAATCATAACGTGCTGCAAACCCCCGCCATAACCATTTTTGGTCCCGCTCGCAACCAACGCAATCGCCACGCCGCCCGCAGACGCGCCACTTTTCGCTGACGAAAGACTTTCGACGCTTTCTGCAACCGACACCCCCGACTCCGTCCGCTCGGCAACCGACAAACCCGACTTTGTACGCTCGACCTCGGAGGCGCTCGCTTGCAAGTCCTCGCTTGCGGCGCGCGACAGCGCCTCAGGCTGGTTAGGTGTGCCGTTCGAGGTTCCCCGCACCTTGCCGAAAAGACTTCGGGGAAAGATATTATTGGCAGCAGTAAGGGTTTCCGGCTTAGAGAAGGGGTAGTCCGTGTTGGTGTCAAGCAGATCCTGGGCTTTCAGTGCGGCTTTGGCGGCCTCGGTCATGGCGGACGTCTCAGTGGCTTCGAGAGACCAGATGTCGATGATGCGCTGGATGAAGCGGAAGCTGCGAGGGGAAAGAAACGCGGTTGGGTTACCATAGGCAACAAAGCGGGTTCCAACGAACAACGGAATTCAATCGACAATCGTCCAGAGGCAAACGCTCCTCGAACTTTGAGAAGGGTGCACCATGTTTGCGAGAAGGATGCGCAAGTCCTGCACCCCATCGAAAGCATAGAATCCTGAGGAGCTGCGAGGACTAAGAGCAGGATTGGACTCGTATACAGGAAGCGGAATTGTCGGAGACGAAGGTGTTACGCAGAAGCTTCTGAGTGAGGGGCTGCTGGTGAAATTTTCCACCCTGGTTCTGAAACAAGTGGCTGCCAGAGCTGCGTGGAAGTGTGGTCTGCAGAGCCGGTCTTAAAGCACAATTTCTGTGCTAGGGCACAGAAATCCGACTGGACTGAAAGTGGGGTCCTGAAGAACTCTTTCGTTGGGTCTCCAGAGCACCTCTTGTCGCCTGAGCGTTTGTCCTGTTCTAAAACTGCAAACCCATCGAGCGATTGTTACCGCAGGGGCAACCACAAACGTCGGTCCAGCTCAGATTAATTGGCTGTCGCGGCAGCGAGGTTCCAGAGCGCAACGCTGTGTTCCAAAACACCGTACCTACCGCTGAATGGTGCCTGACGGACGCACAAAAGCTCAGTCGACAGACACCGCTGATTGAACCAACAATCGCTCACCCTGCCTTCGTCGTCTCGAACTGGACCTGCTGCAGGGTTCCGCCAGGCCGGTCCTGCGTGTGCTTGCTGTGGTCCTTCCAGATAATCTCCCACACGTGCAACTCGGGGCTGTCGACGGACTGGCGCCTGCTGCCAGAGCCACTGGTGCTGGCTGGCCCCTGCGAAACGAACGCCGTCTGCTAAGAGCACTTCTAAAACGCCTGAAAGATCTCTGGACAGGACAGGGGATGCACGCAAGGTGGGAGCAGATTTTGACACCTCAAATCGATGTTAGGGAGGGCATACAGGGGCCCGTCGGTGCCTGGCGACCAAGTGCCTCCTGGTCACCACTTGGTGGTCCACCTAGGTCGTCCCGCAAAGACAGAACAGCTTCGTCCATTGCTTAGCTTAAACTTGCAAACCACTGGTTCATTACTACCAGATTGCAAATTTTGAAACAGATCAAGTGTCACCTCAATGGACCGTCGAAGCTGAGGGGTGTCAAGCGATTTTCAACTGCACTCTCAATGGCCGAGGTGATGGTGAATCGGATGATCCGGCGAGACTGAAAATCAGGCTCAACAAGCTTACCTCTGCCGCAGACGCACTGCCGTCACGGGGTGTGGATGTCTCTTTTTCCTGGCCCCCTCGGCCTGCCTCTGTTGGATCCGCCACAGCTTTCTCCCCTCCGCTTGAGCTCCTTCTTGGAGATGGCAGAACTGACAGCAGGCTTGTCACAGTCTTCCCCGCTGCCACTGCAGTCCTGGATGGAAAGTCCTGGATGGCGCCGAGAAGACGCACACCGGGGCTTGCCGAACCGCTCTGGGAAACGTCACCCCCCTCCCTGACATATCGCAGACCGACAAATTTGTCGGCAGAGATTCGGGCTCCCGGGAAGTCGATGGTCTCGTTGGAGAGCCTGGGGGAGGCGGCTTTCTGCAGAGGTTGGAAGGACACTTCGTCAATAGGCTGGTTGCGAAGGGTTTTGCACCACTCAAAAACATTGACGTGGCACAATCAAGCTGACCATGGGAAGTACAACTCCCAAGCGACATTGAGCCGGCCTTTCATTGCAGGCTCGCTGCTTCCTCTAAAACTACATCAAACCCACTCAAAGTCTCTGAGTTGCACCTTTCAACAAACGCGCCAATAATGTATCGATTCACATCCTCCCATACTGCTGCTTGTTGTAGCTTCCTCAATGCAGCAATTTGCACGTTGCTAGCATTCATCAGTGCGAGCTCTCGTCCAATTCTGCCACATATTGGGTTTTTAATGGCCTTACCCGACCGGTGTTCGTGATGATAAAGAATGGGATGCGCCCAGTATCAGCTTCCTCTGTAGGTCCCTGCTGTGACTGCTCATCAACACTTCCAAGAGGGGGAGGTTCTGATGGCACCAAAGCTGGCTCCGACTCCCGCCTCTCTGTCAGATCTGTGGCTTTCTGCAGGATTCCATGGGTACCAGCCCCGCTTGCTGAAGGTCTCCGAGATTCAGCACGCTGTTCCTCTCCTGTTTGCTCAGAAACCAATTCTGTGGCAGCGCCCGACCTGTCATCAGCAGAAAGTCTTGGCTGATGCTCTTCGTTCTGGAGGGCTACTCCTGCTGTAGCTCCAGAAGCAACCTCCGGTGCAACTATTAGCTGATCCTGTTCAATCCGACTCCCGTCTCCAGCTTGCTCAAGGGCCATCGTGGAGTCCACTAAAGTGCTGCCTGCTTCCAACCCTCCATCATTTGCATCACCAGGCTGCTCAGATGCTAAATCCAGGTCAATTTCCATGAAACCCTCGTTTGATTCTGTTCCTGCTTCCAACCCTGCATTGGCTGCAACTGCTGGACCATTCAGCTGCTTGGCTTCCGATTCAACGTCTGTCGCCATCAAGTCTTCTTTCAATGTGGTGCTTGCTTCCAACCCTCTCTCTGTGACTTTTTTCAGTTGCCCAACATTCAACCCCAACTCTGCCTCGATTGAAGTTTGGTTCACCTTGTAATCTTCCAGATCCATCTTCGCAAGGGTCGCAGCTTCGCCATTCGACTTGCTCTCATGATCTTCTCCAGCGCTTCCGCGTTCATCAAGAGATACATCCTCCACCACATCCTGTAAGCTGCTCTCAATTGCCTCATCACTAGAGTGATAAGTTTCGGAATCGGCGTCTGTTTCCGTTTCCAGCTCTATTGGTTCCAACTTTGAAGCCACCGTCCCCATTCCTGTGCTTTCATTGAACCCTCTTCCTGTTCCCGTTTCCATGCTTGCTGCTGGTGTTATGATCTCACCCCAATGGGCGCCATTTTGTCCCACTGCAGCGCCGTGATTTGCATTGACATGCCTGTCCGACGTGGGCGCACCGTCCAGGGACTCCATTGGGCCTGGCATAGCAGGTGCTCTACTTGTGTGTTTGAACGCGAAAGCAAACACCAATGTGGCAACACAACGAATGTCAGCTGGCCGCTCACAAGCGCGCGCTCAGAGTCTGAGCAGGCTCTTCCATGGGCCTGCTCAAGTTGCTGCTGCAAAACGAAGCACAGAACCCTAGAATTTCTGATCATGCAGGAAACAGACTCTGTTCCAGTCTCTGGAAACGTGGCAACAAACAGGGCCTTTTGCCAGCGACTATACTTGACACTCCTAGGGTTTCCAAAGAGACTCGAAATATTTTTAGTTGTCTGTGTGTCAAAAGACATTGCCAAGTGCGAAGTCCTCAAAATATACCCCGGTTTGACCGGTCCTGACCGTTTGCAAGTCACGACACGTCAGCTTTCGCACCCCCAAAATCCCCGCTGGAAGATCTGGAAAACAAGGTGGAGAAGCGAGGAAGAAAGACGGCTGGGCAGTGGGAAGAAAGGGACAAGAAGAAAGTTCACCAATATTCAGAAATTCAGACACTCTACTCACGAAGTGCGCATGGTCAGGCGGCCAAGAACGGGCACGGCCAGGTTTCACAGGAATTGCGAGGAGCGGCGTCGCATACTGGCACATATCTAAAGACCTTCCAAGTTTTAGGTAAGCGCTAGTGAAATCTGCTCCAAACCAACAACTCTTGCCATCGCTTTGGGATGCATGTATGTGAGAATGGGACGTGTTGTCTGTCCAAGCTTTGCCACTGTGGAGGGTGGATTTCTTGGGGTTTCTCCTCCTGAGTTGAGCATGTCAGAAAGCTTTGTCTTTTTTGAAATAGTTTCCTTGGGCTTGGCACAAGTAGAAAGGTTTGTGGTTGGAAACCTCTTGACATTCTTAGGCAGGGGGACTCTGAATCTGCAGAGATGCTTATGCCTGCTCCTAATCTTTGCAGAACCATCGGCAACAAGCATGGAGTCAATTCGAGTCACCGATGATGAAATTGTGGTCGATAGTATGATTCTGGCAAGCAGGGGAGAGAAGGAGAACCCTGCTCTACCAAGTTTCGGCCGCAGGTAGGTCCTTTCTGTAGTCCTTCAGAACCTTGACATCTCCATTAGTCCAGAAGTTCAGGGGTTCTTCAATTGTCCGCAGGGCTTTATTGCTGACAGTGTTAGACTCACACCCCTTCCAGTGGTCTAGCAGAGCGTTCAGGTCACCTTGGTTCTGGTTACATCGAACTCTTTCCTACTTTCGTGTATATCAAGGGCTGACGTTTCTTCCCCCTGGTCTGCAGCTTGGTCCCCTACTTCTGTCCCAATAGGTCGGACAATCCTACAGAGGATGACATCAATATCAAGACAGATTTGGACGCCTACCGCAGGTTAGTCAACACACCTGTGTTGACACTCCTGCATTGTTGCTGGAGTTTGCGGGCAGCAGGTAGTCTTGATGAGCACTGTGTTTCCATCTGTATAATCTTTGTCTCTTAAATTGCTGCTACTTTCTGCTCACATGCTGTTGCTTTCAGAATCAACATATGCACTTGGCTCCCAAACTTGACCCTACTGTTCTTACTTTGTTTCTGCAGAGACGGTGCTTCAATCCTTGACATCCCCTCACCAGAGGCCAGCAAGGAACCTGCCTCGAAGGGCGCAGGATTTGTCAATGCTGGACCCTTAGTTGCCTTGGGAAAGAGCTCAAGACTGGCTGCGGAGAGCCACAGTATGACTGGCAGTGAGCCCCTCAAGATGCGAAAGAGAGGAGCGGGTGCAAAGAGCAGGGTAAGCACATTATCTTTGGAGTGCTTGGGTTTTTAGTCTCATTAGTGAAGCTGCTCATCTCTTACTCTTCACAGCTCAGAGTCATGGTCATCATGACAATGTAGGGTTGGCTGCATACATTCCAGCATTGACGATTCAATTGTGGGAAGGTTGCTTGCAAGGAATGCACTTGCTGATTAAAGGAGTGGTGCTTTGTAAGTTCTTTTAAGTGCCCTCTTTTCTGACTCTTTGTGAATGTTGTCTGCCAGTTGCAATGTGCTCAGTGTGATGGTCAGCTCTTTTTGCATTACTGAGTGCATGACTGCTTGGCGGGCATGGGAATTTTGAGTGAAAAGAGGGATGAAACACTTCTTTGAAAAGATTCCTGTTTTCTTTGAAGCAGAAGGCGGGCCCTCGCAAGAGTGAGGAAGTGTCTTCTCCCACTTCTCCCCTGGACGACCCTACTGTGTTGACGACGTCCTCCGACAGCGACGCAACAGATTCCGACTCTCAGCAAAAGTATCGTTCCGTCTTCGTCGGGCAAGGCCCCACCTGGCAGCAGGAGGAGCTTCAAAAGAGCCCGCTCAAGGCCAAGAAACGGGCCCCCAAGCCACACAGCAAGGGAGCGAGCGCCTCTCTTTCTGGGGCTCCAAAGGGATCAGTCAAGACTAGTCAGCCGCAGCCTGAGGGCAGCAGCAAGGGCCAAACCCCCTCCGCGCTTCCGCAAGCTCGTCAGGACGTCGTGCGAGCGCCGCAGGTTTCTGTTGAAGCTAGGAGCCAGCCTCCCGAGCGGTTCGCAGGGGCAGCATTCCACAACTCTCCGGCCCCTAGTTGCCTGCCGCTGCCTACCTTTGCACTGCAGGTGGGTGCTCAGTGAAAATTGCATCGGTTGTGCTCGGCCTGCATGTCTTCCCTCCGTGGCATTGCTGCTTGGAATTGTTTTGTTCGCTCTCTTAGTTGAGGGTAAAATCGATGCATCTTTTGCTGAATTTGTCTATTTTAGAATTCACAAGCAATTGCCTACTCTTCATGAAAAGCAATTGCCTGTCCCCAACTTTCAACGCCCTCTTACCTCTGTGACTTTCATCGCCATCTTACCAAGCTGCTACTGTGATCACTTTTATGCATCTTATTTGGGACAGGAGCCTGCTTTGTCTCTTGATCCTGTTCATCCAGGGAAGCTTATCATATCCTTTGTTCTTTGCTGCAGAAAGTGCAGGACAGCTCTGCTCCTGCTCGGCTCAACCTCTTTTTGTCCCCCCCTCGCGAGCCACGGGGGCCTCCGCCCCCTCACGCTGGTCTCCTCACGCCCCCCTGCGCACCCACTGTCCGGGGGGGCCTGCTCACCTCTGGCAATGCCCCCCTGCTGCGCGCTCCCAGCACCCCCGAGCAGCTGCTAACAGCCGCAGGGGGCGGCCCAAGCAAAGGCCTGCAAGTGAGCGCTGAGCAGGCTACGCTGGCGCTACAGGAGCTGCTGAAACTGGGGACGCCGCCACCTGCGCCGGTGTCGGCGCCTTTGGATCTGTCTGAGTCGTCGATTGCGACCAGGGACCTCAGGAGGCTGCTGCAGCTGGCTTGAGAGCGCGGGCTCGCGGAACTTAACCTGGATGGGTAGAAATTATTGGGTGCGTATACATTGAGTTGGGTGGGTAGGTAATAAAGGTTCGGCGTCGCGTCAAGTGCCACTGTATTCTAGCTAGACAGGGGCAGCGTGCTTGGCAGCGCAGCGGCGCATGGCCAGGAACATTGTTGGTTGAGTCGATAGAGGTCACAGCCCTCCACCTCGCGCCTCCGCAAGAGGAGCTTAGTGCGGGGGTTTTGCTAGGGTCCAACTGTTTGTTCTGCATCAGCGCTGCTTGGCACACTAGAGTCTTTCGTCAGTGTACATATGCTAGGAGTTAGACTTGAGTGTTGCAGCCCACTGAACGAGCCTAGCCGCAATTGGTGCCTGCTTGCGTCAAAGCGTCAGAAGCAATTGTTGGTCGTCCTAGCAGGTTAGCTTGTAGTTGGTTAAAAAGGAGCAGTGTTGACCAGGGTCTGAGAACTGTCGTGGTCTGGGAAGGTCTGAAGCTGCAGCTTGCCCGAGTCTTAAGGGTCCAAGCACAGACTCAGGAGGCCTGTACGTAGCACCAAAAAACAATCTAGGGCAACTCAAAGTAGGGAGTCTGAAGTCTCAAAGTGGCTCAAATGGCAGAGCAACAGTTATCCCGCAGCAAGCAATTCAGAGCGTGGTGGAGGGATATGGGGGTAAACATCGGGAGAGGGCTGTGGGAGGAGTTCAGACGAGAAAAACTCTTGAGGGAAGGGATTCTGAGGCTGAGCAGTACAAGCGGAGGTCCATGACGATTACTTCAAGAGACGGGACTCTGAGCAGCAAAAGCGGAGTCCGTGGTGGTGAACCAAAAGGGCGATGGGAAGGATAAAACGACAGAGAGGTTTTGAGTGGTCTGCGGATGCACTCTTTGGTTGGACGATTTTACAATGTAAGGGCATAACAAAGGGGAAATGGGAAGGACGTATTATAAGGTCAAAGGCAAGTTGATCTGGCTATATTGAAGTACACATCAGCCTCACTCGATTACTGTTCATTGTGAGCTGTATGTGTAAGAAAGCATGCAATAGCTGCACACGCGACTCCTGCATCGCATGCTAATTACGGTTGGCATGGTCCTGTATACATACCTACGCTGAATGCATGTATTCCGCGGCAGGACTCATGAGCTGGGTTGAGTAGATCACTTACTGTGACTCGGTGCATGCATACTAATGCCGCTATTACTTTCGGAGCTAGCTATGCCGCACAAATTACAAATACATGATTTCTCTAGTTTGAATTCATGAGCTAGGTCCATCCAAGCTTTTGCATGCAAAAGCTTTGCGGGCTGCACCGAATAAGTTGCAGTGTCGCAGGAATCAGCATTGCAAGGACCGTACTCATTAGAACATGGCGCCCAAATGACCAGTCGCAAGCTGAAAGCCTTGGAGCTCTTTAAGAACACGCTCTAATAATCATCAGAACCTGGCGCTGTCTTGCATTCACAGATTCGTGGCTCGCTGCTGCAAGCAGACATGGCCGGTTCCCATTCATGCTTGGTTCAGGAATGAAGACTGCGCGGCTGTAGCAACAGCGGATGATATGACCCGATGACCCGACATCTTTGGACGCATGATCCTCATTCCTGAAGAATTACGCTCATAATCTGTACTTCAAACACTCTTCTTCTGAAGAAGTAGTCTGCAGGTAGACGACCAGACAGAAAACCCTTTGGCAGCAAGAAACCTAGTCGAAGTTCACAGTTGCCGTGCTACCACCCGTGACATCTTCCTCTACCAATTTTCGCCTGCTCGCGAGCTTTTGTTGCAACAACCGCTGGTACCCCTCCGCATTCTCCTTATTCTCTTCACCCGTCCCCACCGATCCCCCAATAAACCGACTCACTTTGCTCTCCGGTTTGGAACCATCCAACGCACGTTTAACTCCTAGAGCCAAACCGCCGTTGGGGGCCCCTGCTTTGGGAGTGCTCGACCCGTCACTTGCCGCATTTTGAAGACGCCTTGACCGCTCGGCCGCGATTCTGGCTACCTGTGCCGCCAAGTCGCCTTGCAAGCCCTCTCCCTGCTTTCGACTGTCAACTGACGGTGCCCGTTTAACGAGCTGCAAGGGTGCGCGTACTGGGCCGCGGGGCTTGCTCGCGGCAGGGAGGGGGGGGAGGGGGCGGCGGAGGAGCACGCGGAGGGGCCGGGGGGGGAGGCGGAGGCCTGCGTTTCAAAATGGCGAGAAAGGAGTCAGCCATAAAAAGAACATAGGGGCCTAGGAAAGCCATTCAAAAACTCTACGGCCGACCTAAAATTGGCGTGACAATGGGAGACAAGATGGGCCAGAGGAAAGAAAAGAGGAGTTTAGGAAGAACAGCCGTCATTCGAAGGTGGAGAGGAACTCTAGGCAGGGCTGGGGAACAGCTGCTTGGCCAGTACCGAAGTCAAGGTCAACCTGTGAGTGGCAGATGTTCGATCTTCTGGCACTGAGGACGAAATCCATTCAACCTATGTAAAGCCACAGTCACTTTCGGTGCTCATGGTAGCGGGGAACATCCGGCAAGCGAGACAAGGGACTCATTCGTGTTCCCGGCTGAGCTAAAGTCGGTCCTCAACCATGTCAGCCACCAACGATCGCTTCTGAAGCCCTCTTAGCGACACTCCAGCATTCCAAAAGGACGAGACATTCCGAACATTTAACCTCGCTTTTAGGCAGACGGACGCGGAACAGAGCGGCTTCAGGTGAAGCGGCGTCTTCTTACTACAAGAGAGACCCGGAGTATATCGACGGGCTTACTTGGACGTGGTCGCCTGCTGGAGGGCGGCCGCGAGCCCGGGCCCCGAGTGGGCCGCCAGCTGTCGCAGCATCTCCTGTAAGTCCAGCTTGCTCCCGGGAGCCGCGGTGGCGACCGCAGCCAGGATTGACTGCAGACAACAAGGTTGCAAGGGCTTACGAGGATTTCAGCGGCCACGATCAAAGGTCTGAATTTCCAGGAGGAAATAAACACGCCACGAAGAGGCATGGTATCGCGACAGAAGTCTGCCAAAGACCGAAGCTGACGAGGCTTGCTTTCGTGGTCAGAAAAAATGGTGGTAAAATGGCATCTAGTGCTCACTTTCGAAGACAACACGTTCAGGGCGCCTTCGAACCAGGAAGCACGGCTCGTGGTGGTTCCACAAGTGGCGCTTCGAACGGACGCGAACATTTTCGGACCCACCGACCAAGAGAGCCGCGCTATGAGAACACGTCTCTGCCATTAGCAAAGGTCTGTACTAGACCGCCTTCCAAACCCTCCCCGTACATTTTCACCCTGGCAACCATGGCCACAGCCCAGGAAACACTCGATCGTTCCCGGAAGACCCAAGTCTGAAAAAGATTTCGACACCGCACCTGTATCTGCTGTTCGCTGAGGGCGAAACCTGTCGCAGCCGGGCCGGGGGGTGTCGGGGGAACCGCCGGGAGCACGTCAGGCCTGAGGAATGGGTGCCGGAGCAGCTCGGGGATTGAGATGCGGCCCTCGGGGCTGTACGTCAAGCACCGCTGGATGGCGTCCCGCAGGTGGGGGTTGCGGAGCGGGGGGAACGAGATCTGGCGGGGAAAAGGACGGAAGGAAGTTGAGGACGGATTCACGCGTGACAAATCCTTGCGTCACGACGCTTTTGGTTGCGAGAGGGAAGCTTGAGAATGAATGCTCGTCTCTCAGTTTTGTTACAAAGGAGGGGGCACAAGGTTTGGCGCAGGTGCGAACGGCAGGGAGTTGAGACGGATGGTAAAAAGGTTGCAGCCGCTCTCCCGCTCCCTCCTGCCCCGGACATGGACAAAGATCGTCGGCCCACGTGGCACTTCACATTACGAGTCAGCTTCCGCAACTCACGACGGTTATGGTGCTTCCGCGCGTCTGAAAGTGCGCTTCCGTAGAGCGCGCTGAGCAGCCTTTAGCAAGGGCCGTGGGCAATCCACATTTTGCCCACGGGTTACTTACTAACTAAGAAATAACCGCCCACCTTTGTGTTGGGGTCAGCCACGACATACATCCGGTGGAGCTGGTTGGGGACGTGCGCAAAGGGCAGCTGTCCGTACGCCATTTGGTACAGGATGCAACCCAGGGACCACACGTCGGACGGGCGGCTCACGCGGACGTCCGTGGTGGCGGACTTGATGGCCTCGGGGGACATGTAGTTCACGGTGCCCATCTGCGGACACGTGCAACAGGCCGAGTCGGTTGAGTTCCTGTGTCCATCTCGGGACACGTGGCAGTATTGAGGCGATTCAAAGAAGGTTCACTCTGTCTGGAGGGTAGCAAAGGGGAGGTGAAGACGTTGAACCACGTTTGTAAGTGGGTGGGTTATTAAAATCACTCAAGTTGAAGGAGGTGGACCTGTTTTGTAACTATCGTCCACTTCGTCGAATTTGCGGGTTGCACACACCCTCCTGCAAGGCTGTTAGCTTGGGGGAACTGGCGCTTCGGATCCAGTCGATTCCAGTCCAGGCGCAAGTCTAGCCTCAAGGCACGTCGGCTGCCGATGAACGGACTCGGCAAGCCTTTGTTTGACAATAGCTGCCGTCTGCCTCGGCATGATTCACCGGGCTTGATTGCAACAGCGAGCGGCACCCGGGAAAGATACTGGTAACTTAGCGATACCTTAAGAGCAGGTTGACCTGAATTTGTGTGCTTGAGCACACAAACAAACGAGAATCCTGATCTAAACAAGCACGCGCTTCACACCCTAACCACCGAACCAACCCAACCGGTCCCCCGGGCGCTTCTCTTGAGTCAACCCGCTCTTCAGTCACACAATCTCTACCAGAACCCGGGAAAGTGCAGGAAGGCTTACGTGGTTCCTTTGCTGCTCGATGCAGGTGGCGTCGTCGACCATGGACTTGGCGATGCCAAAGTCGATCAGCTTGAGCTCGCCCAGGACGCTCAGAAAGTTGGCCGGCTTCAGGTCCTTGTGCACGATGCGCTCCTGGTGCACGCTGTGCACCGCCTCCAGCATTTGCTGCACACCAGAAACGAAGCGACCAAGTTAACCCTGGGTTTGGGATTTTAACGTTCGTTCAGTTAGGTGTCAGAATCAAGGCGGGCTCTCATGTGTACGATGCGCTCCTGGTGCACGCTGTGCACCACCTCCAGCATTTGCTGCATATCAATCAAACTGGTGAGCGTTGACCAGTAACTAGGCGTGGTTATCCCTGGTTAAGCTAAGACGAGTCGAATTAGATGTCCGTCAAGGGCAGAATCAACGAACGGAGTCTTCCTGTCTACGAGTGCGCTCGTTGTGCACGCTCGTAGTGCCGCCTCCGGTATTTGTGCGCACCTAGAAAGGACTGTTTAACGGTTATGTGTTGTTTGTCCGTGGGTGAGCGTCTATCCTTTGTGAAGTCAAGTGCCTTCAGCCGTGCAGAACAGGGACGAAATCTTCCTTTGCAACGCCCCTAGGAGCCCTGCAACTAAACAGGATAACGGCGGAGTCTTTCTCTGCACGAAGCAGGGGGTGCGAATTCGGAAAGCCGTATGTAAAGCTCCTGCTCTCACAGCTCCCCCAAAAGCCTGGATCACCAACTCTCAGCAGCCTCTGGAAATCGCAGGTCATCAGAACATAGGCAACTGTCGACACTGCCGTTTGAATCGCAGAGAAACGGCTCTTGCATCGAGATCTCAATAATGGGCGCTGGAATTAGGGACCTTACGACGGCCTTTTACTGTAGTTTCGGGTACGAGGGCAGCAGTAGGCTCGCAATTGCAGAACACAGTGCCAACCACCACTAAGGTCCAATTATTACCCCCAGAGCGAAGCCGCATTGAGTATTCGTGAACACCGGAGTCCGAGTGAAGGGAGACAAAACGACGAAAAGCGGCTCGCAGCTGATAGTTAGCAGCCTACCTGCCAGGAGCGGCGTATGAAGTTTTCGTCAACGCACTTGGAGCCCATTTCGATCGCCTTCTGTTGCTCCTTCTTGAGCAGGCTGGCCAGATCGATCTCGCCGTACTCTAACAGCACATACACCACGTCCTCCCGCACCTGGCAAGGCGTGACAGTTTAGGGAGAATAAGCTTTAAGAAGATGAGACTCAATCCTTGACACAAAAAACCCTAACCCATAGATCCCCTGCTCTGCACCCGTACCGGAATCCCCAAAGCAATCCCACTCGTGCAGGTTAGCAATCTTCCTATTCCTGAAACTTACCATTGCAAAATCGTCGATTCTTGCACCTGGCGAGCATGCGTGTTATGCTCAGAAGTTTAACTTCTTGAGGATTATGAAAACGTCAGAACCTGATTCGACCACGACCATGACTTCGTCTCAAGGAGCCTTCTTCTTGATCCGCTAAGCTGGAAAGTTTTCAAGAAACTGAAAAGCCTGACGTGAGCAACCTGCTGACACACAAGCAGAAGGGAAATGCTATGAACCTCGAGACCTTGGAATCAAGTCGCGGGCTGGCTAGTGCTCAGCTCGACAAGAAATACAGAACGTACAGGGATCAGTTGCTACCTCCAAGTCCCAGGTATGAAAAGGTGGCAGTCTACGAGGAAGCAAAGAGGCCAGGGGATGCATCCAGGACGCAGAAGTCGGTACTCGAACGGACACTTTCAAAGTCAAAAGCTGCAGAAGATTTACATCGTCAGAGCTTTTGAGCAGATTGAGAACGGCCGACGAGCTTCCAAGGAGTGCTGTATGCCTGAAAAGTTCAAGTGGCCGGGGTTCCGCACCTCTGAGTCGATGTAGCGGATGATGTTCCTCCGCTTCTGCAGCCGCTTGAGCAGCTCGATCTCCTCGATGAAGCCCTGCCGGGCCTCAGGGCCGACACCGGGACCCGTCAAAGGGATTTTCTTGAGCGCAAACTCGCTGCGATCGGGCCCAATCACCTGCAAGAATGATGCTTTTTAATAGTTTGGAGCTGAGATGCCCTTGGTAGTGCGAGGCACGCTGTTGCGATCAGGAATACCGCTGGATGCAACGGTGTGAAACAGATGGTCGGCAGATGTGTCCTTGCGCGAAGACAACAAGACATCACAGTTTAGACGCCAGCTGGGAGAATAGAGTGTTGATACGCGAACACTGCTTACCTCATCGAATAGCTGAGATTAAGAGTTTCATGTGTCAGTTAGCGTTTGAGAGGTTCTTGATGCTGCACCTCCTCCTGATTACGATACACGGTTTTCCAACACGCAGTAATCCGTCTCCAACTCTCGAGGGGACGAAGATTTGTCGGACAACTTCGCGTTATCAAACCCGATAAGTTCAGACGTCTAACCGAAACAGAGTCTTGGAAATTCTGTCACCTTGTAGACCCTGCTGCTGCCCCCCTTCCCGACGGTCTTGAGCTTCTGGTACCGCTTCCCGTTCAGCCACACCACATCGTCTTCGCGAGCGCCCTGATGGGCACTCCCCCTGGAGTTAGCGCTCGCGGGCGCCTGCGGCGCGGGGCTGCTTGCCACGCGGGACGAGCCTTGCTTCGGCGTTGCCTGGCCGGGGCCCTGTTGAGGGGCTCCGTGGCCCCGCTGCTGGTCTTTCTCTGGCGCTCGAGGCTCCGAACGGGGCCTGCTCGACGCGGGGGTGACTTGTTGTAAGGGGTTTTGTGGCTGGACTGGTTGAGGCTGAGCAGGATTGTTGAGGGCGGGTTGCGATGGTTCAGCTTGACGGGCGTTTTCAGAAGGAGAGGCGGCTTGCGTGCTCGAAATCACCGGCTTTGTAGGCCGGCTGGTTTGCGGGGCGGCTGATCCGGAAGTTTGTAGCGAGGGGGTCGGTCCGTTCGTGCCAAGGCTTGGTAGATCCGTGCGAGGTACCCCAGGCTGTTGAGCGGGTCTAGGGGAACGGCTCTCGTGACCTCGCTCGGTTACTGGCAACGCAAGCTCAGCTTGGGTGTAGGCCGAAACTGCTGACGTGGCAGCAGGGAGCGCTGCCTTTGTATGAACCGCCTGACCCTTCGTGTCCATCCATTCTGAACCCCGCCTCTCGTCGAGTGTCCCCTTTCCGCCTCTGCTAGCTTCTCTTGCCTCCCTCCCTTCGACCATCGCCACGTCGGGCTCTTTGCTTCCGCCTTCCCGACCTCCCGTAATGCCCTTTCCCCCGGACTGCTCCGTTCCGAGCACTTCTTGCCCCTGTTTACTGCCCCGGATGCTGTCTGCAGCCCCCTTTTCCGCCTGGCTACTAAAAGCCCCCCGCCCCTCATCCATCTTCTGCAGCAGCTCTTCGTCGCTCGGGAGTTCTCGAGGCTGCCGTATCACCACCGGGAGCGGATCTTTTGGCTGCTCGTCCGCTGGGGAAAGCTCCTCGGTGGACTCTGCCGAGCTTGGGGCGTCCTCAGCACCGGCCACACGCCGCGCCCGACCGCTCAAACCTGCAGTGGATAAATGAGAAAAGGTTTTCAGCACGCTTCTGTAGACACCCGACAGGGAGAGAAAGTCTATGACAAGGCCCAACGTCTTCTGCAAGACCTGGCTGCGAGAGGTGAGAGAAGGGTGCAGATGTAAGACATAGAAGGTCTCCTCAGGTAGAAATCAAGCAATTTCGCTTGTAACGCTAACATCCAAACACTCGGCTCATGTGGTTCCTCTGCTGCGAATTTTGCGGAGGTAAACGAACCGTTCACTTCCGACTGATCGAGGACATAGACGCTAGACCCCTGAAGGCACAGCTTTTCGAATCTCCACAAACCCACGGCAGGGCAGAACATTGACCGATTAACACGACGCTTGCGCTCAAAGTCCTTTGCTACTCACCCAAACGCCGCAGCTGCTTGCCCTGCTTTGGCGCTGCCGCACCGTTCTCCACTGCAGCGCTCGCTGGAGGCAGCCCCTTCTCCTTCTCGGGCGCACTCTCCCCGACAGGCTTGCTCAGGCTCACCGTCTCTTCGTCCCCCTTGCTCGTGACCGCGCTCTTGACACTGCTGCTCCCGCTGCTCTTGCTGCCAGACTTGGCGCTTGTGGCGTTGCTAGAAGCGCGCTCCCTCGATTTTTCCTCCACCGGGGACAGCGTCGGGGCCAGCTTCTTGGCAGGCTCCCGCATCCATTGTGGCCGCTCGAGAGCCACTCCCGTTGGCTGGTTTCCCCGAGAAAGAGCAGGCCGCTCCATTTTGAGGGGTGGGGGTGCGCTTTTCGGTGGCCCGGATGAAGGGCCATTCCTCTCCGTGAGAGACTGGCCACCTGCTGCGGTTGCAGAGGTTGCAACCACAGTCCCTCTCTGGTCCCCAGGGGTTAAGCCTCGTCTGTCAGCCAGCTCCTCCAAGCTTGGCCAGGACCGGTCCGCTTTCTCTCCACCCCCTTGCCGCGGAGTCCCTACTCTGCTCTGCAAACCGTCCTCCCGCCCTCTAGTCGCTTGCACTGGCAGGCTAACGTCTGGCAGTTGGCCCTTTGGCAGCTCTACCGTCTCAGTCGGACTCACACTCCCCCCTGCCGAGGCTTCCCCTGTTTCCGCTACCCCTGCTGTTTGTACATTCCTCCGGATAGCAGGAGGCCACTCTCTAGGAACTCCTGGTCGGCCAAGACTCTCCCTCAAGTCCCGAATCCGCTCCTGACCCAGGCCCGCAGGTTCCCTACCCCCAACCACAGTTTCAGACTGCCCCGCAGAGTGGTCTGCACCCTTTTCCGACTGCCTCCCCGGTGCTCCTGCCACGTCAGCACCTCCCAACACCACCTGGCTCTCGTCAGGGCCCTCCTCTGCATTCTGACTCCGATCCGGTGCCCCCATGCTGCTCACACCCGTAGTCAACTGGCGCGTCGTCACACTGGTGGGGCTCGGTTGCCACCGGAAACTGCTCCCAATGCTGCTGCGCCCCCCTACAGAGTGACTTGTATGACCGTACCCGGTTTCTCTCCCGTTGTCCTGAGAGACATAGCACGACCCCGCGCCTGAGTGCGCCGTGTCGTCGAACTTGAACCCCCCGGGAAGGCCGCTCTTGCCTAAGGTGCTCGTCCCTAGACCGAAGCTAGGCGTTGGCATGCCAAAAGTTGTGGTTCCATCTGCAGGCACGCCACCAGAGCTGCTCCCCCTACTTTTCCCGTACGGAGTGCTGAAGTCCCCCTTGGCAGCATCCTGCCCTGCGAGCACGCTGGCCGAAGTTGGCTCGACTACAGACTGCACGGACGTTGCCGTCAAGTCTGGTCGCCACCGTTCTTCGGCCGCAGAAGGCTTGCTGGACTCAGGGCGTTGTGAGGGGAAGGAACGAGGGGTTCCTCGGACGGCTTCTCTGCTCGGGGTGGTGAGGGACTCGGCGTCAGCGGGTGAAGGGATTGGTTGCAGAGAAGGCTGGAAAGGCTGCTGCCGGTATGCGGAAGGGGTTCCCTGTTGCGGCCTGATTTGGTGGGTGGAGGGAGTAGACTGAGGCGGCAATGCCAGCCCGGCTTTGTCTAGAGAGTGAGAGCGAAGAAGAGGGCTTGGCTGCTCGACGGGTGGTGCTGAGGGCTGGAAAGCGCTAGCCGATCGAGGCCAGGAGAGTCTTTCCAGTGAATGGGGTGCAGGGATGGGACTTGGATGTGCTGGCAGGTTGCTCTCGCTTCTGCTCTGAAGGGAGGTGAGGAGTTTGGATTGCAGTTCCTCGAGATGCCCGGCTGGTGTTGCCTGCTGCCGGATGCCCTCTTGCACCTTCTGCAGAGCCTTCTGAGGCTGGCCTGCAGGCAAAAAAGTCTAACCTGAGATAACTGAGATAAGCAGAGGTTACAAGGGCAAGGGCAACCAATCTGCTCCACTCTGACTGAAAAGAGGACGGCTACAGATTGTCAATTTGGACAAAGCCCAAAGCTGATCGATCGATTTCGGGTCCAATCCTTAAACTGGCATACCCAGCAATGGCAAAATGCATCACATACAAACCACTGAGGCACACGACCAACCCTTCGATCTAGAGTTGAAAGCTTTTCCTATACTCTGTAAACGCACCAGCGGCAACTTCGAAGAGAGCCCATTCCTCATAAAGACAGGCCAGCCCGTGGCCAATATGATGGCTCTTCAGGTACTTGAAGATCTGCCTTGCATCCTCCTCGCTCGTTTCCCTGCGCATTCAGTTTTGTCCAGAAGTTAGCGTGGTCGAGCTTGAAGAGAGCCAAGTTGAAGCTTGGGCCATTCGAGACCTGTGTGTCCATCTTCAAGTGAAAGGCACACCCAACTTCGCGCGGATGCTTGGATACGGATACAGCACCTCACCGAATCTCATCCACAACAGTAGGACACCACCTCCTCAAGCTTCTTGGGTATCTTGGGGGAAACCCTTGAACAAAGACATGACTTTGTTATCAAAAGGACTCATCCTGGATTGAGTATAAAGCTTACATTTGGTGCTTGGCATAACCAGTCCATATCCTGACATAGTCCTCGTTGCTGATGTTCAGAGACCTTGGGATGGCCTTGGTAGCCCATTCATAAAGGCGGCTGATGCCTATCTCGGATGCTGCTTCTGAGTACTTGCAAGACCCCTGGAGCTGTTCGTGTTCTTGCAGAAACCTCAACCAAGCCTCCGGCGATTGCAGTCTGCCTCTCAATTCTAACCCCGCTGCAGTATCTGAGCTGATGCTAAGGTATTCGTCTAGCTCAGTTTCCCAGCTGCTCCTCCTCCTTTGAAGAGACGGACTTTCATTCGTCAGGGACTGTTGAGATGCTGCTGCAACCCTGGCTGCTTTTTCCGTGTTGAGTGCCCTATCTCTAAGTCGCTCAAAGGTGTCAGAAGGCCGCTGGTGCTGGCTGCTGATTGCCACCGCTGTTTCTCCGGAGGACCCTAACTCGGTTGCGGCTTTGAGTCCTCCTATCCTCTCTCGCAAAGACTGCATGGAGGGAGGCAGTCGACTGAGACCTATCCCTCCATACATTTCCTCATGAGGAGCCATCAGCAATGAAGAGCCAGATGTTGATTCATCAGCCTCCCCTGGGTTCACCCTTTCTGTTCAAGTCCGACCACCTTCTACTCTATGCCCGGCCATTCATGCGAGGTGCCGATTCAACTGCAGGCGTGCTCCTACCTACGCCCCAAGGCTCGTCAGGGCTTGCGGTATCCTACAAACCTCTGACGATGACATCAAGCTAGATGGACACAGATCCTTCCCAGCACAAGCAGCTTTTGACAAGAAGCTCGATCGGCTGTGGCACTGGACAATGCCAATGGCAATGGAGAGGCGCTAGCTGTTCAGAGCTGTTCTGCACTGTTGAAATGCACGATTTGCAAATTCGAAAACAAGTTGGTCCGTTTTCGGATGACACGATCATGATCGGACGGCTTATAATGCATGGTTATGGACACATCGAACTAACCAGATTTTTAACCACGTTTACGCGCGTGAGCTTTTCCGGCTATTCGCGCGCGGTACGCAAGGGACTCAAGGTGAAGACTCGGAGTGATATGCATGTACTGACGAGCAGCTGTTCAGGTGACCTTCCCAAGGGGGCGCATTGCCACATCAGTGTCAGGGGAGCAGAGAAATTAGGGGGGGTCGCAGTCCCATTTTGTAGAGAAGGCAGGCAGGATGGCAGCCGTTGCTTTGGCAAAGGGTTCCTGCCTCGGCGCTGCCATCAGGACACCTGCCATTCCGTCAGCGTCCACTTCTAGCAGGGATGCGGTCTTCCGCAGCTTTTCGGGGCTCACATTGAGTGAAAAGATGGAGCAGAGTGTGCCTGCGTTGAGAAGTACAGCGGCGAAGGGTGAGACAGTTGACCTCTAGGTGCTGGTCACATGCCAAGCTGCATTGCTACCCTGTGTGCACTCCTAACGAGCGGGCTTGGTAATGGTCACTGTGCTCAGGAAAGACCCTCTGCACTTACTGAGGCAAAGCGCGGAGATTAGTGCATCTTTGGCATGTCGCTTGCCAAGCAACAAACCAGGGCGCCGGTAATATTGTAATTAACCTGCATTCCGACTACAAAGAACAAGCTTGAGCAAGATAGCAGAAGGTGGACTCTGAATGCTGGCACATCAGCCGACACCGAGACTGTCCTAGTACAGATATCAGTAGCAAGTAGGAGCTTGCTGGGTGCACGTCGCTGTTCCATTTAACTTGGGTTACAGAGGGGGCGATGATTCTGTTTTAAATCTTGATGATTTGAGAAGGTTTGAGTTGTCAAGGCACTGAACATGTTCACTGAACACGTTTCTTCTGCATCATTGCAGTGGCTCCGCTGCAAATAGGGTTGTTGGTAGAAGCGAAGCTGATCAACCGGAAGGAACTGCGATTGAAGAGGCACCGGCGCATTAGAAAGAAAGTAAGGCTCTCCAGCAGGACTGGTCCTTGATGCTTTCTGCAACCATTGCTGGTGATCACGCCTTGTTTCATGGCAAACCACCGGCAAAAGCAAGTTCGGGCCAAAGCCTGTTGGCTAGTTAATGTGTTGGTTCGTCCGCTGTACCCTGCTCAGAAGGCTCCGAGTGTTTTGGAAAGCCATGCGTTGTGACCTGAGCGCCACTTTCGCTTGTTGATTGATACATTCTTTGCTTTTCTTGTCAAGGTTTTGCTCCGTCTTTCCTTCGCCAGTGTCGTTTTGATACTTTGCTTACGAAAAGTGCAGTTTGGAGGTCTAATGATGAAAAGTTACTGCTTGAGTCACGCTTTCGTGACGGAGAGAGCAAAACAGAAATTTGACCTGAAGACCTCCTTTCAGCTGCACAAGAGTCTGTATGTCTTATCACCCCTCTTCTGGTGTCTCTGTTCGAACAATCACAACCTGATGTGAAGGCATGCCGACTCTGAAAGGTTAATGTCCAGGCGGGCCCTGGTTGCCCGCAGGTGGTTTTTGCGTAGAAGTAGGCAAAGGAATTGGTAGATGCGTGGATGTTCAAATTGCACCTTACTTTGCAGATTTCCGGTACATCGGATCGCCCCCGGATGGCTGTCTACAGGTCAAACGCGCACATCTATGTCCAAGTGATCGATGACGAGAACCAGTGCACCATTGCAGCATCTTCCACAGTGAAGAAGGGCCTTAGGGAGACCCTCGAGAAGACTGCCGGCGCGACCTGCGTAAGTGTCTACTTGGTCTCTGCTGGGGGTGCCGCTTACATCATGTGTGGGTGTGACTGCACACCGGCGGCAGATCAGGTCACGCATTTCAAATTCGGAATCTAGTCTAGGTTGTCGCTCTGCTGCTGTGTTGATGTATAAAGCTGATATCGCAAGGGAGGACATTCATCTCTCAGTCCCAACGTAATTCCTCACGTTTTTCTCCCCCCCCGTGTTGGTTGCTTCAACTTGACATGGCTCATGCAATTATGCTAGGCAGTATTATGTTGGTGAGCGCACCTTTCTGTAAAAGCAAGGCCGAATTTGGTCGGGCCACTGAGAATCGACAGGACACGCTTGAAAGAAGGAATCAGGCAGCCAGCCAACATATCTCTTGTTGTACTCTGCAGGAACACGCAGCGGCCGTGGGCAAAGACATTGCTGAGCAGCTCCTTGCAAAAGGTATCAACGCTGTTAAGTACGACAGGGGCGGCTTCGTGTTTCATGGACGGATTAAGGCTCTTGCTGATGCAGCTCGGGAAGCTGGTGTTGTATTCTAAAGTTTCGCCCGTAGACACGAGAAGTTTGCCAGAAAAGTTTTTCTTTGGTGAGTTCTGATATGCTCAACCTAGAAGTTGCCAACACGAGAAGTTTGAGAGCAAGCCATGTCCGGACAGGCGATATCATCCGACTCTTTTGTATTCAACCGGATCAATGATAGCCTCTCCAGGTTACTAGGTCCTGGGTGATCGACGTTGAAACCCGTTACACCATGGAATCTACTTGTGAGTTAACTCAGCACCGCTAGAAGCATGCAGGATTATTCTCTTACTGATCCCCGCATGACTGCAAGCGTTGATTTGCATTCAGAAAGACCATGGGCCAACGTGCATATGCTTGCAGCTGGAGACCGTCGGTCTACATTAATTGTGTCAATGCATGTACGCTCAGCATGCCAACAGGCTCTGCATATACGAGCCTGCATGATCGATCCAGATAAGTTAACCAGCGCATGATTGAGAAGCTCGAGTACAGACATATCTGACCCGTTGCATGACTGGCATTCGGGCCCCGCGCCCGGGCCGTGGTTTAACAAGTTTTTTTTGGGCATGTCGATCAGAAGCAACCACAAACTTAAGTCATTGGGAAACCAGTTTCCCAATGATCGATCGTTTGTGACCGATCAGTATGTCATGTGAGTCGCGGTTCGAGGCGGCAATCATGTTCGATTCGGCGTCTAGATGGCCATGAGAAATACCTGCAAATATATGGAGTCTTCCGAATATGCAGCTAAACATGTACTACGTGCATAATATACATGTAAATGATTCGCTGATGCGCGCGCATATGCAAAAGCTATGCACATAAGCTAGGCGTACGTCCGGCGCGATTCGGCTTAAGGCGCTTTTCGATTAAGCTGCCGACAGATATTTGCACTGAGACACTGGCACAACGTTCGGAAAGGGTCAAGTCCATCGATGTTTCATGGACGGTCTGCAAATGTCGGGAATACTGAGCATCATTTTCTGGGTCAGTCTTCTTATAGGCCCACCCTTAGCTGCACTCGTTTATAAGATTCATCAAGGTGAACCGATTAGACCAAGCTGGCCGCTTCCCTAACACTTTCGACCATCTGTTTGCAGCTGCTTATTGAATGACGCGAAGAGTGCCATGGTGCTCTCGTCGATGTCGTACACGGAATACCAGCCGGGGTTCTCGTGTGGCGGGTCGCCCACCGGCATCTTGCACTGCGGACGCCCCTCGCCAGCCCACGCCCAAAACATTTGCCCAGCCATGTAACCCTCTCTAGAAAGCGCGGACACCTGTCGGACGGGGACCATATGCTGATTGGTAGCACCCCCGGAGCACTAGGAAAGGTCCGCCAAGCGCTTTACTGATAACTGGATAGCTCTCAAATCGAGCACGTTCCGAAAAAGAGCAAACTTTCTCAAAAGGAGCCGTTTCTGAGGATCCTTCTCGAGTAATCGAAAACTGAAATCAAGTAAAAGGTGGGCGAGAAAGGCGAGGTCAAACTATTTTAGGAAGACGCGTGCCACTTCGGAAGCTTCAGCTCTACGAGATACATGAGCTGTGCAACTGACGTAGCTGTGACGCGGAAAGGAGTTAGTCCAACAGAGTCGGCTTACCTGGTCTAGAACTGCACGGAAGTACTTGTCTCTGTGTGTGACTGGGCTTTTCGGATCGTAGCGATTCATGTTGATCGGGAAACTGTCGCGCGCCAACCCGTATTCTTCCAGGACGAGCGGCTTGCCAAAGCTGGCAGCGAACTCGTTGTGTGCTTTCAAGAATCTCCTTGCGAAGTTGATGGCTGTAGGATCATAGAAAAAAGAGTACAGCTTAACATCTGATGCTCGCGTCGGCGGAGCGCTTGGAGTACAAGCTCACACGAGACCATCAGCCCCTACGTCATCAACGCTGTTGGCGAAACCCCAAGCAAATCAATCTCACTTGAAAAAAGAAAAAGAAACGCGGGAGCTTACCACTTTCAAGGTTAGAGTCGCTCCCGTTGTACGGTTTGTAGATCTCCCAATTCTCAACCCAACTGCAAGCAAGTGGCAATGAAAAGAGTCCGTTTCGATGATTCTGAAGAGCTGCGGTAGTCTCTGAGCTTCTGCTCTCCTTTATCGTTCTCAACAAAAATTATCATGGCCACGAAGAAATCGGTCCTTGAGGGAGCTTCAAGACTTGATCCATTCGGGTGTATTCGACACAATCTCCTCAATATAGTGGTACGCTGAGGGCAAGCGGAATCGTAGAAGTAAGGAATTTGTCTGGAATCTTGAAAGCTATTTACGTCCGACTTACAGATGAATTGTAGCATAGTCGATGTGTTGGCTCGAGTGGACTCTCTCGAAGAAGGCCCTGGAAAAAAATAGAACGGATGAATTTTTATCGGCTGATACTTCATTTCATTGATTCGCTTGATGATTCTGGGTCTTCCAGTGAGTCGGCACTTGAGAAGGCAATCAAGATGAAATTTGGATTCTGCCTCGAACTATAAGCAAGTCAAGCGCCTAAGCAAGAACTTACTTGCCCTCATCTTCGTACTCAACAAATTCCTTGCCCTCCGAGCCTGTTGTCAGCATGTGCCTGCTGTCGATATCCTTCACGAAGGATGCGGTCGCCTCGATCCATGTTCTGCATAACGTGCAATGAAAAGTGATCAGGTGCTCACACTCTACTTGTATGTTCTCTGCGTCAAACTTTCTAAGCTGTTCCATCAGAACAGCCGTTTGCTGTCGCCACAAGCTATCCTGTCATGCTGATCATGCAGGAGAATGCCGCTCCACCTAGAAGGAAAAGCAAATGCATCTCATCTGCCCTTCTAGTCCCTTACGACAGTAGAAAGTCGTTTCAACCAGGCCGGGATCATACAAGAAGGCGAGCGAACTTACACAGGAGGTTTCTGCGGCTCGTTGCAGATCTCCCATGCAGCTATTGTCCTCCTTGTAGATGATGCCGTTGATCGTATTCCTTCGAGTCAGAAGAGTCTTGATGTGGCTGCGAAGAAAAGCTATGATGATAACTGCCCCTGTAAAGCTCAACTCTGAAAAGCAGGTTAGCGTTCTTAAGATGCTTCAATACGAACGGTCGACGCATCTGCAAAGCACTGCAAATGAATGTGAAACTGTGTAGGATGTTGTCGACATGTTCGATGCAATCATTTCTGATCGACGTTATACCCAGAATCTCACCTTTGCAACATGTTCTGACACTTCAACGCAATACTGGTGTCGTTGTAGAAGCGCCTTGCAGAAAAAAAGCAAGAGGAATCAACTCGTGATTCAATCTACGTGCTTGTGCAAGATTAGGCGGGCTGGACACTTTGAAAATCTGCTTCTGATGTCGTGCTAGTTTGGAAATTTCAGATTGTCAGGACCTTAGATCCCCTTGCAAGCTGCAAACCGCTTGATGAGCTTCTTAATCATACAGACTTGGTCTAAAGAGACATTGAGACCAACCTGCATAATTCGTAAAATTGTCGAAGTCCCCTTTCCAGTCCGGGTAGGAGGGAAAGGAGAGTACCGGATCACTCGTTGGATCTGCCCATGCGACAGTCTGCGAAAAGCCCCCTGTGTCGTGCCAGTAATCGATAAAGACCAGGATTGCTCTGCATGGGGGCCAACGTTACTTCCATGAGGCTCTGTAAGCAAGCCTTTTAGCGCACCGCAAGCATCAACTTGACCATTGCAACACTCAGCCAGCTCGTTCTGCCTTAGTTGACTTGTAAACTCGTCGATCGGAATGCCTCTCAAAAATGGAGAGTGTTGTAGATTCTCCTAGAAAAGGCTCTGAGAACACATCTCACCGCATGTTGCGCTTCCTCAAAGCATCGAGAAAGAAGTCGAGGCCCTTGAACACTTCCTCGTTATAGATACCACTACTGGGCATAAGGGAGGGCGTGACCCTGTAAATAAGAGAATCACTGATCGCTATAATGGGTGGTACTGTTGCATTTTCAAGTTACTTTCATCTTCCGAAGCCTCGGAGCATATCATGCAGGCAGCGGCCCGCCATTATGGCAACAATTCATCAGCGCTTTCATGATCCAAGAAAAAGCTTCGCACCTTAATCAAAGTAATCAACCAGGCTACAAGACAAACGCAGTACACTGCAAAGGGTTCAAACTCTGAACTTTTGTGTGCTGCATAGTCTTACCTGTAAGGCATATCATCTGGTCCTAAAGTCAAGGAGATCGTCCGGATGGTGTTGAAATCGAGGTCCTGCATGTGATTGTAGGCATATGAGCACACTGACGAAGCTTTCAAACGTGAAGCACCAAGCAAAATTTTGCCAGATCGCTTCCTCGTGCAGGTGCTTGAAGGGCATCAAGGGCAGACTTTGAAATAACAAAACAGAAGTCGACTCTGTTCGGCTGGGTGACCCTCATGATGGTGCTTGCAAGCAAGTCGATCGTTTTGTTTTGATATTGATTAGCACTAGCACCCGTAAACTGGGATACCGAAGCCTCCAATTCCGTAGGGGTTCCTGATTTTGGATTCGCCAAACATGTATGATCTTGATTAAGCAAACCTTCAGACGGTCTAGATCTCGTGCCAAGCGCGCTCGTTGACCTCCTTGCTCATCCTCCATGCCCAGCTGAGCCGCAAACCACATGTTCGTTCCTGCTCGAAAATTTGTTTGTTGATTCTTGAATTTTTGTTATGAGACACATCTGTCACGAAGCTCAGACCAAGTTAAGATACATGCAACTTTTCTGACGCCCTTGCAATCAATAGGGCTTAGTGTTCAAATACTACTGAGAGTGAAGGGTTTCAATTTTGGCGTCCTGGCTTTGAAGGCCGCATTCAAAGAATCGTCTTGGAGTTTTATTTGCAGCTTGCAGTAACCTGTCCTTATTGACGTAAAGCAATGCAACGTAATTATTCCAACTTATCAGAAACTAGGATTTTGACCACCAAAGCATTCAGGCACTTTGCTTATGAGCTTCCAGCTTGGCCACGCGCACAATCTTTGTATCTTGCAAGCGACAACCGGATCCAAGCCGCTTCTTCGGCTGAGCCTTGGTGGCTGTGCATGAGCAGATTGCTAGCTAAGAAGACGGATGAAGCGTTGTACCTGTCATGTAAAAGGGGCTTCCATCTTCCAGCTCAAAGCGCTGTCCTGCTGACTTCACGAACTGTTCCATTGGGAGCTGCTGTGGATCGCCTGCGGTCAGGTGGTGCGCCAGAACGGAAGACATAATGAAGAATATTGCTTGAAGAGTCGTCTTCTTCGAAGCCAGCGGACTTTGTGGATACTTCTTGCCTGCCATTGAAGGCATCAATTGCAAACTAGAAGCGTCTTAGGGCCTTCAGCGCTTCAGCAACTAGGCGAGCTCGGACCTACTTCGCTAGGCATCAGACCTACTTCTGAAGCCATACACATCTACTATGTGCTGCATCAAGCTCGTCTACGTATATCATGCGAGAAAGTGGCGAAGCGCTGCAGACTTCGTCCGAAGGGCCTGTCACTGCAGGACGGAATCGGAACTTTTGTGCTCTTAGCGGGCGGCAGTAGGTACTCACTTCTACTGCTAAAGAAACTAACGACTCAGTTATATGCAGCAGTTAAAAACCATTGTGCTCTGATCGGTATGGGTCTGATATTCTTAAGTTAGAACTTTTGGGTTTTGAACATTCATGGGACCAACACCAGACGATGCTAATTAGATCGCTAAGTTGGCTCTAGCAAGCTGTCTAAACATCAGTGTGCCGCTTCGACTTTTTTATATAAGTGCGCTGCCTTCCATGTACCTATACTACGACTCACACATCATAGGTACTTGCATGCTGAATCAGGCTCATATATATACGGTATGCATCATGCTTGCAAGCTAGGTGTTCCCAAACGCTGTGCAGGTACCATATAGAACATTTCGAAGGTCATCTGATCAGTAAGCTTATACTGCATGGAGCGTGCGAACATGGGCCACCAATGAGGCATGGCGTTGGGCCTGCGCAAGATAAGCCCTTGCATAGTTGACGTGTCTGTTGGAAGTCTATTGCAGGAATCTACATCATCAGGCACTTGAACGGCTAGGATCCAGCCGTCCGACCAGCCTCATGGTCGAAGCGAGAACAGACAATCGTGTCAAGCATGCCTTGTAAACGAGAGTCAGTTTCGCATGAACGGATGGTTTTTGAAGTTGCTCTTTGCGAGAATAAGAACGCTCTGCTCCAAAAATCTGGACGATGTTCTGATGTTGAATGTACAGAAAGATGGGCCATCCTTGAGGATATCAGCCATGCACATATGCTCACTCGTTTGCAGCCGTCCACAGTCCGATAAACCCGGCTCTCTCGTCAAGATGCTACGCTTTATTCAGGTAGGTTTTCTAGTGGGTCTCGTTGAAAGCACCCCATCTCCTAAGACAATTAGGAATTGTCCGTCACCACTTTCGACCAATGGTTGAGCTCCTTCAATCGAAGGAGACGCCTCACTACTCTCTTTCTAGATTCTAGTGCACATACTACTAAATACCTTCCCAACGAATCAGACCAGACTTTTGTCCAGGTCGTCGAAGTACGGGTGGATCATGGCGTCCTTGGCAGATATCCTCTTGGCAGGCTCGTACTGCAGACATTTCTGCAGGGAGAATTCCCGAGTCAGCTCTGGCCATTGATCCGTCCTTTGGATCTGATTGGCAACCGCGCAGAGCGAAGAGTGCAATTCTTCAGTGTGTCCATTATTCACAGCTTTCAGAGAGCTTCAGTCAAGAGCTCGCACTCTTTGATGCATCCGAGGCTGTCCGAGAGCAAGCAGAGGCACTTCAAGATCAACTCAAGTCAGTTCGTCTAAGCATGCGTCAGGCGCGTAAGAAGGTGGCTCCCAACCCGGCTCTGAACTGTTATCAAAGTCACGATACAAGAAAAAGCTGTAGTCGAAGCAGACCGATGGAACGAACACTCTTAAAATCGCTCTCAGCAATATCAGAACTCCAGACGAAGGCCTCACCTCGAGAAGATCAACTCCCTCTTTCGACAAGAGTGGGACCGCCCGAGCGATGTCCTGGCGGGGCCACTGGGGATACTCGTGCCAGTCACGCAGCTTCGACACACCCGGCCAGATCTGCTCGTTGGGAGTGCCCAGTTGCCTGCAACAGTCAACATTTCCTTTTTGAGATCTCTGGACGGACAATGTGCGAAGGTGACAGAAACAATGTTCAGCACGATCCCTCACCGAAAAGATGGAAAAGCTTGGATCTTCAGTGTCTTCTCTGGTGTCTAACCACGTGATTGGAAAATCGAGCTGGAAACAGGGACCAATGGGCAGCATGGCAAGAACGTTGATGGTGTGCATAGCCCGCAAACAAAGCTTCTCTGCTCGCTTACTTGAAGATGTGGAGCAGCTGCTGAAGCTCCGAGTCTCCAGGGAAGAGGGGGTTCTTGCGCGACATCTCCGCTGCAAAAGGAAACGACTGTGTGAGTGACATCAGAGGACTTTCCGTGGGCACATCTGCAATCGTCAGTATTTACGATTCCGATGAGAACCGAGGTTTGAGGAGGTGTGAAGCGAGCCCAGTCACGTACAGCAGCAACACGTGTTCAGTAGAATCTGGGCAACCTCGACCCACTTACCCAGAATGCATCCAACAGACCACATATCTACAGGTGTCGAGTAGTGAGTTGCCCCGAGCAGAACCTCCGGGGCTCTGTACCAGAGGGTGACAATCTGGAGCGCAGAAGAAGGCGTAAGTCAATCAAGTGCCAGCTGTACAGACAGGAACAGAAAACAGCAGCAAGGCCTCCTTCCAAGAAGCAAATAGCTCAGCAGAAAGACACAAAATTTGCACCTGCGACAGTGCCATAACAATACATTCAGTCCTGATTACAGCTTGGAAGAACAAAGAAGCCAGAAGAACCTTATGAAATTGCACGAAGGAATTTGGCATGCAGGACTAAGATCTGACCTCGTGGGTGTAGCTTTTGAGGGGCACAGTGAACGCCCTCCCAAGACCCAGGTCAGCAATCTTCAGGAGGCGCTTGTCCTTGTCGACCAGGAGATTCTGCGGCTTCAGATCCCTGGACATTTGCACAAGGGAATGTTGGTGAGGAGATCTTGGCAAGCCTCAGGGCCGTTCAGAGTTGGAACGAAGCTTTGACCTAGTTTGTGGGCACCAGGACAGAGCACTTAGAAGCTGCATGTTACTCACTGGATGACTAACAGCAACGGCGGGCTCACGAACCTGTGCATGACACCGTGGCTGTGGCAGTGCGCCACTCCCTTGCACAGCTGGTACATGAACCTCTGCAGGGAAAAGAGTCTTTCTGTCAACAGAGGTGTTTGGGAAGGCGCCTCTATCACTCAGATTGTGCCTAGAGTGCATTGGAGCAGTCAACCAGAAGATTCCTGTTGCACTAACAACCAAAGCAACCGTAAACGGACAAGCTTGCATCCATAGGTGCTTTCATTGGATGTCAAGTAGTTCTGCATCAATTGCCGCAAATAAGGCTCGAAGATTCCTTGGCCTCATCTAACAGCAACTGGAAAGCTTGCTCCAAAGCCAGTCCCAGCGTTTGTCGAAAGAGTCTCACACAAACTGCATTCAGCCAACAGAAGCTTCATCATTGACTCTCACCTTGATCAGTGCTGATGGCAACGGCTTCTCTGGGCCGCGCCCATTCAGGTCCATGAACTTCTTCAGGTCTGTGTCGAGGTATTCAAAGACCAGGTACAGCATGGGCTTGTCATTCTCGTCGATATGCTCCACACATAGGAGTCTGGCAGGACACAAAAGCTGGTTCAATATCAACCACATTGCAGTATGATTGGACACAACTCAGAGCCACGCATGTTAGCAGGGTGCATGGGTTGTGGTGAGACCGTGAATAGACCTGCTCAGGAAACCCCTGTTTCAGGAAGTGGCTGAGAAGGCTGTCATGACGAATAGGTCGAAAAGGTCAATGCAGAACCCAAATAATGGTCTTAGCTCAACAAACCTCTGAACCCGCCTGCAAAAGGCCCTCCAAAAGCTTGACCTTTCTGCTGTTTGCAGATGTACAGGCAGATTTGGTTTATCACCCCTTGTTGGCCTAAGAATAAAACCCAGGTGGAAGCAACGGGGGCACTCTCAAGAGCGGCCACTTCACCCAAATCCCACCCACAGAGCATGTAAGAGTAAAGTACAACAAACCTGACAACATAGATGCTGGTGGAAAGCATCTGCAGCAGTGACACCTCTCGCAGAGCCGTTGAAGGCACTCCCTCCTCTTCCATGTCCAGCCGGGTCTTCTTCAGAGCCACAATGTGCCCTGTCTTCTTGCATCGTGCCTTGTACACCTTTCCATATGTCCCTTCCCCTACTTTCTCAAGCTTCTCGTAGTTTTCCATCTTAGGTATGCCTGTTTTCAGCCTCTTATCAACCTTCAGCAGGAATGTTGGTCGTCAATTTTCGCAGGGCCCTTGTCAGTGCCAGATTGTCAGCGCGCTCTGACGACTCTTAGTCCTGATGGCTGTGCTTTGGTTTGTCAACGACTTTTGCAATAAAACGCAACCCAGACCCCTCTCCTTTCTAGCGTTACAAACGAGAATTGTGGCCCTCCTGGAGCATGCGCATATCAAGCAAGGCCCTTGCGCCTTCCTGATCTCAGTCGCCCTTGCTGTGCTCCCCTAAAGCCCGTCAGGAACAGCATGCAATGCCCTCTCTGGCGTACCTACTCAGGTACGGTAGGTATTTGCCACCCTCTGTCCTTCGGTTGCACGGGCAACTGACAAGCTGGAGAATGCAGGCTGCAGACTGAAAGAGTCGAGGAAGAGGTCAGAAGAGGTTGCTTGAACTGGTGCAGCGTGGCGCCAGACTCCGGCGGACACTTGGGTATTTTTGAATTGAAGAACGGTTGGAAATTGAGCGCCAACCGGACGTGCCCCTGAAGGATGCCGCGTGGCGCATCGCAAGGCTCTTCCAGGTTGATGGCTTGTCCCTGAAATACCAATCTAAATCGGGACCTTCATGATCGAGGGGGAGCACCATTACAATGCGCGAGCATGCGCGCGGCACATTCCTTGTTGCATTCAAGTGCCAACAGACTGCAACGGGACTGCAACTTGCAAGTTTTGGAATCAAGTTGCTCGCCGGCAGCCTCAAATTCGGTGTGCACCTAATGGGTACCTGATTACTTATTTAGATGTATGCTAACCTTAACACCCAAGCTTGCCAGCAATCCCGGGCAGTGTCAGAGCTGCTAAGCTGTCTGCTGATCGGCACCATGTTCACAAACTCACAAAGGACATTACTGGCGGTCGGATCACCACCTTGGTGCAGGCAATATCTGGATTGGAGCTCGGTCCGTCTTTTTGTGAAGATGCAATCTCTTGTGAAGAAATTCGGGCAGCACTTGCTGAAGCTCAAAATCACAAAGCCTGCGGTTTTGATCGGATTGCTAACGAACCGTTGAAGTATGGAGCTGCTGCTCTTACACCTGCGCTAAGTACGCTCTTCAATATCCTTCTCAAGACTGGAAAGTGCCCAAGTATTTGGTCCAAAGCCCTTGTTCATTTGATCTTCAAAGGGCGAGGAGCCGACCCCCTTGATCCTCTTGCTTACCGACCTATTTCATTGACATCCTGTATCTCTGAAGTGTTTGAACGTGTGATTCTGAACAGGCTTGACAAGGAAGCTGAAGACAAGGGGCTCCTAGAAGAGGAGCAAGCCGGGTTCCGCAAAGGCCGCTCGACTCGAGACCAGGCGTACATACTTCGAGAGACGCTTGATTCACGTAAGGCTGCTGATCAGACCACTTTTCTGTGTTTTATTGACTTGACAAACGCGTTCCCAAGTACCTGGCAGTCCATGGGATGTGGTATCGACTTCGAGAGTTAGGTGTGAAAGGGAAGCTATTCCGCAGCATCCAATCGATGTATCATTCTTGTCGCTCAGCCCTCCTCACCCCTTACGGTTTAACCGATTGGTATGTTTCGGACCTGGGCACCAGGCAAGGGGCAGTTTTGTCCCCATTTCTCTTCTCGCTCCTCATATCCCCCTTGGCCAAACTTATGAGAGAGAAAGGTCTGGGGGTTGCTCTCGGCATGCATGCGACTCTTGGCTGCCTATTGTATGCCGATGACCTGGTCTTGGTTGCCGGATCCGAAGTCGAAATGCGAGAAATGATGTCTGAGGCAACCCTTTTCTTCAAAAAATGGCGATTTTCAGTGAGCGCAAAGAAAACACAAGTCGTTGCCTGTGGAAAGTCAGAAACCCGTGGCCTCAAAATGCGTTCTTGGGAAATAGGTGGCCAAGTAATCCACGATGTGCGCAGTTATAAGTACTTAGGCCTCTTCTTTCAAAAGAACGGTCTGTGGTACAAGATGCGTGAAGCCAATATTGAAAATACTGAAAATGCTTACATCCCACTATACCAGATTGGATTTGCAGAAGCTGGCTTGTAAATCGGTCAGTCTGCTTTTCTGTGGAATTTGTATGCAAAGCCTAGGCTTCTATA